TAGGAAAGAAAGATTTTTGTTAATGTCGAAACAGGAACATATTAGGCATATCTGTCGAGGTAGAAACAACAAGTGATGCTACTACACAGGATTAGTATAAGACAGAAAGAAGGAAACCACCAGTTGCTTAACTGTGCTCACTGTGTGAAGGTGGTACAATATGCAAACTACACTAAAATGCCAGACTGGGCACAGGTAGCTAGATGATAGCGTATTTAACCAATACCCATAGCACACACAAAGTTCCGGCAGGTACAAGAGGGTACTGAAGCCTCCCTGGATTCTGCGGTTCACCGCAGCACTCCTCATCTCCCATGACTCCAAACCTCTCCCTTTGCAATGAGACAGCGTCCATGAGACTGAAGTAAGGTATAACCTTCACGGGTACCCTCACACGTCGCCCGCTGGATTCTTCATGGTCTCCGCCTCGGAGTGTGTTTCCTAGCAGGAGCTTTTTGTGCAGGCTGAGCAACAGGGATCGGCAGTGCTGTTAGCTGATTCCATCTCCTCAACCTCCGCCAGAACTGCCGGCATGTCACTTAAAATTTTTTCGTTGAAGTATTCCTCCCAACTCTGCACCTCATCTTTGTTGCATTGTAGACATTAATAGCAATGTGATGAGTTATTTTTAAGGGGACAGCAATTTTACACTGTTATATAGGCTGTACATTTACTACTTTACATTGTAGCAGAGTGTAATTTCTTCAGTGTTGTCACATGAAAAGATGTAATTACAAAAATGTGAGGGGTGCACTCAATTTTGTGAGATACTTTAGGTCAAGAGGGGAGGGATCATCCATATGGACCTAAAAAGCTTTTAGCTCTGTCGCATATGAGTGTTCCATTGTTATGGTTTTTGTTTATCCTATTGTATAATAGTTTTTACACTATTTTAGATTTATTGTCCTTTAAAGGTTTACCTGTCATGATTACAGTATGATCCAGCACATAGAATTGTGTAACACAGAGGACTGATAGGTAACATATACCGGACCTTAGAATGGCCGGACTAACGTACCAAAGAATAGTCAGGAATAGCCGAGGTCAAGGGATACAGAAAGAGACACAGCGATAAGGAAAAGCCAGGGGTCAGCGATGCCAGAAAACAGGGAAGTCAAAAATAATCCCAAAGTAAAATAACCAGAATTACCAGAATGAATAACACGCTCTCGGACAGCCACAAGGGAAACCACGACAGGGCACTGAGCAGGATGAGAACTGGGCCTAAATACCCCTCCTCTGGATCTGATAGGCTGTAATCGGCCTTTGACCCCAAAGGCAGTTACCAGGTTCCTGTTTGCATAATTGCTGCTCAGCACAAACCCTCTTGTGGATTTGATTGCTGCTCGGCACAACTTTTCCTGTCAGGACAGTAATATTGTTCGGCCCAACTTTTCCTGTCTGAATAGTAAATTCCATTAATCACATTTTTATATTAATAGAACATTTTCTACAGTTAAGCTATTTTGCTTGTAGAGGTGATTTTATTTGTATATAAGTATCACATTCACTGATAATATAGCAGTCCACTGTATATTTCTGTTCATAATTTTTGTTTGTTGGGAATTGCACATCACAGTGTGGTAGCAGCTTAGAATATAATATTTGAAAATGTGCACGTTTAAAAAAAAATATTATTTCACAATATAGCGCTTATACGCCATTTTTATTGTGTTTTAAGCACATGGATACATAGGTTGTGTAGGTTGAAAAAAAAGACAAAAGTCCATCAAGACCAACTGTGAAGCCCATTCATTTATGCTGTTGATCCCAAAGAAGGCAAAACACCCAATTGTAGACATTTCCAACTATGTCACAAAATGGTATAGATAATCCTTGACTCCATAATGGCAATCAGATTTCTCCTTGGATCAACAACTTGTTTGCATACAATTATAATCTTGAATATTCTGTTTATGCAGAAAAAGTCTGATAACAACCTTTTTAGGCAGAGAATTCCACATCTTTATTGCTTTTACTGTAAAGAACTCTATCCTCTGCTGTAAGTAAAACAATTCCTTTCTTTCAGTCTTAATGGGTGATGTCTTGTCTGTTGGATAGTCCTGCTAATAAACAGAGTAGCACATAGCAGTTTGTGCTGACCCTGTATATATTTGTATCGTGCTATCATATCCACTCTGAGGTGCATTCACCATCACCTTTACTAGTTTTGTAACTCGTCTCTGCACTTTTTTTTAGTTCTGCAATATTCATCTTTAAAACTGGGGCCCCAAATTGCATCGCATATTCAAGCTGATATTCCTTGCACTGATTTGTAAAGAGGCAAAATTGTATTTGGATCACATGAATAAAAAACCTTTTTATACACGAAATCACTTTATCAGCTTTTGCAACGGCAGACTATTTTTATTTTCAAAATACATTTTTGGGTTTTATCCTTTAAAGGAGCACTATATGGTCAGGAACACAAACATGTATTCCTGACCCTATAGGGTTAAAACCACCATCTAGTCACCTTGGTCCCCTCGTGCCTCCCTAAATATAGTAAATCTCACTTGTATTCAAGCCTGAAGCTGCTGGATTTTTCCACGGTATCCTTTTGACCTGCCCACTGCCTGCTGACATCAGAAGTGGTAGCCTGATCCAATCACAATGCTTCCCCATAGGATTGGCAGAGACTGAAAAAGAGGCAGATCGGGCAGAGCCAGCACAATTCAAACACAGCCCTGGCCAATCAGCATCTCCTTATAGAGATGAATTGAATCAATGTATCTCTATGAGGAAAGTTAAGTGTCTGCATGCAGAGGGAGGAGACACTGAATGTTTGGATGCATTTTAGGCAGCCATGACCCAGGAAGGATCTCTAACAGCCATCTAAGGAGTGGCCAGTGAAGTTATCACTAGGCTGTAATGTAAACACTGCATTTTCTCTGAAAAGACAGTTTACAGCAAGAAGCCTGAAGGTAATGATTCTACTCACCCTTTAACAGACCTCTAAATAATTCCCCAACCACATATGTTAAGCTCATAAGTCTGTAGGTTTCGTGTTCAGCTTTTGAACCCATTTTAAATAGGCACCACATCTGCTTTTTTCCAACCCTCAGGTGTAATTTCAGAAAGCAAAGCATTTTATCCTGTGTTAACGAGTCACCTGTTTACTGTAAGCCTTTTTATATATAGGTATTTGCATATCTACAGCCAGTGGCGTACACACAACCCATGGGGCCCCGGTGTGAAAACTGATCCGTGCCCCTCCCACGCTTACTCTGTGCGGGCTGGGGCCTGCGACCGCGGTATATACGCCAGTGCATGCAGATACACGTACACTTAAAGGATCACTACAGTCACCCAGATCACATCAGCTCAATTAAGTGGTCTGGGTGCCAGGTCCCTCTAGTTTTAACCCAGCAGCTCAAAGTATAGCAGGTTTCACTGAGGGTTAATCCAGCCTCTAGTGGCTGTCTCATTGACAGCCGCTAGAGGAGCTTCTGTGATTTGAATGCGCGTGCGACTCTTGCCACGCATGTGCATTCGGAGCTGAGAGGCGGATCGGGCCGGAGAGATCCCCAGCGCCAAGGGAGTCCAGCGCTGGAGAAAGGCAAGTGCTTAAGACACACACACACTCTCACGAACAAACGCATATACACTAGCTAACAGACACACACATTTACTGACAGACACATACACACAAAACACACACTAACAGACACACAGTAACACACTCACTGAGACACTCTAACACTAACACACACTCTAATACACACACACACTCTCTAACACACACATACGTTTAAAAAAAAAAAAAAATCCCCCCAACCTCCCTACCTTTGGGAGAGCTGAGATGATTCCCTGGGGTCCAGTGGTATCACCGGACGAGCAGGCAGGTTTGCGGCGCTCCGTGTACTGATGCCGGAGCCAGAATATGACGTCATATTCTGGCTCCGGCATCAGTGCGGTGCGCGAGGGAGCTGAAGAGGGAGAACACAGGGTAGAGTGCTCCCTTGCGCGCCTGCAAGCCTGCTTGCTTGCCCGGTGATACCAGGGCCAGCCTCTGGGGGCCCTGAGGTGGCCAGCTCCTGGGCCCCCCAGGAGAAGAGGCTGGCCACACTCTTCTGTGTTCAGCGAAGTCTACTCTGAAGACTTTGCTGAACACAAATATTAGTGTTTCAAAACAGTAAAACACATCACAGCGATGATATTGTCAGTGAAAGTGAAGTTCTTTTGCATGTTTCGCACACAAATGACACTTTCACTGATGATACACTTGTTGTGATACGTTTTACTGTTTTGAAACACTAATATTTGTGTTTAGCAAAGTCTCCCGAGTATAACAGTACTCCCCATGTACATGCTTTATAGTGTTTTTGAAAGTTACAGGGTCAAATTTTTTCACATTGAAAATTGCCAGGTTAGTTATGTTGCCTTTGAGAGTGTATGGTAGCCCAGGAATGAGAATTACCCCCATGATGGCATACCCTTTGCAAAGGAAGACAGCCAAAGGTATTGCAAACGGTGTATGTTTAGTCTTTTTTAGTAGCCACTTAGTCACAAACACTGTCCAAAGGTAGCATTCATAATTGTTTTTTGCATTTTTAACACACAAACAAATATAAATGCTATCTTTGGCCAGTGTTTGTGACTAAGTGGCTGCCAAACAAGACTGGAAATACCCCATATTGAATACCCTGGGTTGTCTGCTTTAAAACAAAATATGTACATGTGAGGTGTGATTCAGATATTTATGACAGATAACATTGTTACAATGTCACTATTGATCAATTTTAAAAATATATATTCTGAAACAACAGTGTCCTACTTGTACTTATAGCCCTATAACTTGCAAAAATAAGCAAAAAAAGCATGTAAACACTGGGTGTTTTTAAACTCAGGCCAAAAGTTTTAATCTATTAACAGTTTTTCCTCATTAGCTTGTGTAGATAAGTAAAAGATTTTTCAAGTAAAAGTAAAAAAAACATGTTTTTTTTAATTTTTCACCATATTTTTTTTTTTTTTTTTATTAAAGTAAATTAAATGACATAATACAAATAATGGTATGCAAAGAAAGCCCTTCTTGTCCTGAAAAAAACAATGTAATAAAATAACTTGTATGGGAACAGTAAATGAGAGAGAGGAAAATTACAGCTAAACACAAACACCACAAAAGTGTTAAAACTCTGGTCCTTAACGTACAACATAACCAAAACAGTCCCGAAGGGGTTAAAATCTCCCATTGATAACAAATAACCCAGCTGTGCAGCCTTGTTAATCTGTTTTTTTAAATCCTTCCTAAATAATGGATCCATCTAAATTAACAGCCCAGTCATGTGTCTAATCCGATCATGTTTCTATTATGCCTATTATGTCATATTTCTTAGTGTATTGCCTTTATTTCCCCCATTTTGTTATTTAGGCTCCTTTTTTAATTTGTTTAGTTGTTTCCTTCTCAGATCTCCATATTTGCCCAGTTTAGTAAGTAGACCCCTGTTGATTTGTTTTTAAACTTAATTTTGTGTATGCATTTTTTAATTTTATTTTTAATAAATTAGAAATTGTGCAAAATTGACTGATAAATTCTTAATTTTACCAAAGCTGGAAAAATACATGAGATGAAGATTTTTTTTTTTTAATTTGACAATTCTTCTCTCAATCTTGCAGTTCCTTTGTTTATGAGGCATAGTTAAATTTTTTATTTTTTTTTGCATCTTTCGGGCTAGAATAATACTGTGTTGGCATTCAAAAATGATTGAATTTTTTGTATGGTTTGTTTTCAGTACATCATTGGTTTCTGTAGTCCCTAATTCCATGTTTGGACCAAGTTCCAGCTATTCTACGCTTGGACAGTTGGCATCTCAAGGAGGTTGGTCCTGCAAAATATTATTTAGATTATTTATTTCTGGGCTGTAAAAGAACTGTCTCTTAATCTCGGTATTTCCAACCTATCAACTTCCTTTCACATAAATCTACAGTAACTCCCTTAATCATTTTCTCTCAGTAGGTATTGTTCTGCGTCCCGAGTTGGAGTTCTGTCGCAAGGTGTTGAAGTTTATTTGTCTGGAATTAGCCACTGACACTTCTGACCAGTTGGTTCCAGTATATATCAACTCCTCTGAGAACGCTCCTACATATGCCCACTCCGAAACAGCTGCTGAACATGAAATTGTTGACAGCATCTAGATAATATCTAATTACATTAATTATGCCATTTAGAATCCTCAAACATAAAGTATCATAATTATAACAGTTCAGGCAGTTCATCATTCAATGTTATGACTTCCAGATTAACATCATTGTTGATAGCGCATTTTGTAGTTTTGAATTTTTTTATATTTAATAATTAGACCTCCCTGTCCACCCTTATGCTCAGAGTTGGTTACGTCAGAAAGCAGAGTGGACAGGAGTGCTTAGAGCTTTGCCCGGCACAGGTTTTCATATAAGTTTATATGAGTATGTTTTTTTAAATTTGAAAGAAAAAAAGAAACCTTTTTTTAAAATTAAGGGTTTGAGTAGCTCTTTAAGCCCATTATTTCTGCCCCTTGCTCCTAACCTGCAGTGTTTCTCTTTTTGCTTAAAAAAAAAAACCTGCTATACATGATGTCAAGTTTTTCTATAGGAGCAAAACTGAATTTCCAGAAACCCTTGTGCTGCTCAGTTCTAATTATGGGGTAACCTTGTCAGTGATACAGAAAGTGAGCATTATGATTGGCCGAGTCACTTCCTGGTCTGGGCAAAGTTTCATTTTAAGGATTGATAGTAAACGCAGGAATGTCAAATCTTAATGTGCTTTTTGTTTATTGTTTTTGCATCTTTTTTAAAATGGTAGCCTATCAGCGCTGTTTATCCTGAAAATGTATTTCTAAAAATCCACATGAGCAGGGAATATAGCAATGCTAATCTACCAGAACCTGAACTGGTATTCCTGTATTTCAGCTATCTTACTTTTGTTTGTTTGTTTGTTTATATTTTTATTCCTGGAAAGCTCAGACACGAGGGAAGCAAATGCTCCAGTCTTATTTAAAAGAAAAATACCACACACATATTATAGTAAATTAAAATATATTTAGTTAGAGGACAGCACAGAAGTAACTGCAGTATATGAAATATGTTATTTTAGAATCTGCTGGTGGCATATATTAAGCTCTTCAAATTTTCTTCTTACTTGGGATCCTTATCAGTCAGCTTTGTGCTGAATATGTTGCTATGTTGCACATCAATTGTCCTATCCCTAGAACAAAGGTGACTGTTTCAACACGGTATTGATTAACAGAAACTAAATTACATTGTTTTGTTTGTAAAAAATGTATATCCTCTATCTCTATTTCATATTTTGTGAAAAGCTGACTGTTTTTAGTTTTTTGGGGAATTACGTTTATGCACTTTGTATGTTTTATAGAGGAAAATGTTATGTCTTTGTTAATAAAAAGTTCTCTTAGAAAGATTTCATTCTTGTTTTCATTCCTTGCACTTATACCAATCCTTTGTCGTTTTCTGTTCAGACTGAGCAGGCATTTTCACTGCTACTTTGCTGGACATGTTTATGTTATAGTATTTTTCTGAGGGTGAAAGAAAAGGAAAAGTTACTACAAATATATTTAAACATTTTTGTAAGAATGTTATCTATTCTCTCCTGTTATTATGAACCTAGTTTTTTTTTTAATATTGCATGATAATCCTAGTGGAAACAATAATTGACATAAATCCTAGAACTAGATCAGTTTAGCGTATGTGGCAAGAGTTATGGCAAAACAAACAAAAGAACTGAAAGTTGCTCCTAAACCAATTAATTATAGATCGGAATACATATAAATAGCCTAGTACCTAGGTTCTGCACTATATCCATGGATTACAGATTTAGTAAATATTTAAATGAATAACAATGTCAGTCCTGTCCACCAAAACTAAACAAGAATGGTATAGGCCAGCGATGGCTAACCTTGACACCATAAATTGTTTCTGGACTACATTACCCATGATGCTCAGCTAGCTTAAAAGCTAGCTGAGCATCATGGGAAATGTAGTCCAGAAACAATTTATGGTGTCAAGTTTAGCCATCACTGGTATAGGCCAAATTCACCTATGGTCTGTCTCTGACTGCCTGCACCGTATTTAATAATACTGCAGTGTCTAGGATTATTCAACAGGAGGGTTAAATGCATTTCCCATCACACATCTATGTTTTGGGGCCAGTGGGTTGCCTTTCCATGATAAGGACTGGTGATTTAGTCATGATTCTATAACTGGTGATGTCTTGATGATAACTAAAATATAGTTAATACAAAATTAAATTTATTTGTGGGCCAGTTAAATATAATATGTTTTGATGCACCCCTTTCCATAATCTTTTAAAACTTTTTTATTTAGTACTTTAAAAAATATTTTAAAAAACTAATTGCAGGTGGTATCTGTTTTACTCCAATTTGCATAATTATTTTTTTCTGGTGTTTGTCCTACCCTCTTGTTGAAAGCTGATAATTTCTGAAAGCTTTGAGAAGACTAGAAGTCATCTGCAGTATGCAGAGAAAGGAGCAATACGGCATTACAATACCATCTGCCAATACCATCACCACCAAAGCAGTCACACTATTTGCAATATGAAGACCTAAGATTACCCAAACTGCTGAACTGAAAAAAATATATATTTTGTTCAATATGAATGTGCAAAGTAACTTACCTTTTGAGAAGACGTAATAATCAAATCCATCCTGCTTTTGAGGATTTGGCAAAGACACAGCAGAAACAATGTTGTTTGGAATCCCTCGCCAAGTGGAACGAACAGAAACCTCTTCATGAAGAACACCTGGATAAGTACATTTCACATTGAGTATCAACACTACAGCGATTGTATAGTCAATGCTCAAAATTTCAAATCATACTCAGGCAGAAAAGTTAGTCTATACTGCAAGCCTGGAGATTCCATGGCTCACTCACTAGGGCTGAACTTTAACTGGTCAATGTCTCGTGGGTTAGTGGAAATCTTGAGCCCTGGTAGAGTCATAGCATTACAGAGTCTGATATATTTTTATGAACAGATGAAAATTAGTAATATTTTGTATGTTTCCAGTTAAGCTGAGAATCACAAGAAGTGGACTTTTTTTTTTTTTTTTTACAGAAATCTGGAAGTAATCCAGGGTGCAAACATATCTATAAATGAAATTTGCAGACTCTGTTTCTTTGTGGTTTAAATGGACCTTCTTATTTTCTTTAAAGGACCACTATAGTGCCAGGAAAATAAACTTGTTTTCCTGGCACTATAGGGTCTTTAGGTCCCCCCCACCCTCATGGCCCCCCTCCCGCCAGGCTGAAGGAGTTAAACACTTACCTTTCTCCAGTGCCGGGCTCCCTCGGTGCTGGGGAACTCTCCTTCTTCTCCCGACGTCAGTGCAGAATGTGCATGCGTGGCATGAACCGCACGCACATTCAAACAGTCCATAGGAAAGCATTTCTCAATGCTTTCCTATGGACATCCAGCGTCTTCTCACTGTGATTTTCACAGTGAGAAGCGCGGAAACACCTCTAGCGGCTATCAGTGAGACAGCCACTAGAGGCTGGATTAACCGTAGTGTAAACCTAGCAGTTTCTCTGAAACTGCTATGTTTACAACTGCAGGGTTAACACTAGATGGACCTCGCACCCAGACCACTTCATTGAGCTGAAGTGGTCTGGATGCCTATAGTGGTCCTTTAAATAGATTATGGTACATGAAAGTCCTCTGTCTCTGTGCACAGTGTCTTATAATTGCAGCAGTTAACAAAATTCACTGTAGTTTTAAAGATGCACTAAAGGCACCTGAACAAACACATCTTAATGAAGTGATTCTGGTGCGTATACCCTGGCTCAGCAGTGTAACAGGCTATATAATACCCCCTCTAGTGGCTGTCACTTTGACAGCCACTCATGAGGACAGTCATTTAAACGCTGCACTTTTGACTCCATGCATTTCTATGAGGAGATGCTGATTGGTCGCAGCATAGCGGTTGCTGTGTATGTGTACTATTTTCCCAATGAGGATACATTGGATAGGCTGAGATCATCAGTAATAATAATATCAGCCAGTGGTGTGAGACCAACGCACCAGAGTAAATAAGCTGAGTAATATCCTTTTTTTTTTAGTTTTGGGGACCTTAACAGGTAGGCTAACACTGCAGCATTAGATATACATGTTTGCATTCCTAAAGCTATAGTGTTCTTTGAATCTCATCCCTCGGCTAGACATGTCACAGGATGAAGCCTATAATGTTCCTTGAGATTGTCCTCTTGAACAATCAATTGTCCAGCTTTGGGTGGGTAAACTCAATATCACTGATTGGTATGAGAACAATATCTGAGAATATGCAAGGACAAGCATTTCCATCTTATATTAATTTATTTGATAGCTGTACCCAAAGGTGCTTGCTTGACATTTGTGAGAGTTCTGTGTATCTGTATCCGTTGTCTTATGATTTGCCGAGGAAAGCGATATTTCACTGTTTGTATGTTCTGTGCATTAATTGGGTATTGGACTGCTGGACGATTTCTTTTGGAACATTTTTTAGTCTGTTCCTGGCGATATGTGTACTTCTGAACATTCCCACCTGATAAAAGAAAATTGGTTATTATTATTTTAATATGAAGCCAGGCAGAGGAGAGAATCTAAAGTAAGTTAACTCGGAACATCTAAGAGTGAATTATTTCAGATGAGAGAAAAGTGGTGAAGTAATGCAAAGAAGAGAACATGAATAAGTATTGTTATCATGAAATGCGCATTAAGACATTGGTATAATAGCATTTATAGCCATTACTTATTAAAAGAAAAAGAACAGAACATACCGTTTTTGAAGAAATAGACTGACTCTGGCCTTGTTTTGACTCCAGCCACTGATAGCACTGCAGTTATTTTACCTTTAAGTCCTCCAAACCCTTTAATAATTTGTTTTGGATATCCAGGATCCATAGCATCATTGGTGAAACGCCAGTAATTTGGACCCTATTGGCAAATTAAAGGGGACAACCCATTTGACACAGAGAAATAATGCTCAAGAGATCATCATCCACATCATGTACAAAAGATACGCTCACTAGAACTTTGCTTCTGAAGCACGTAGCCCACGTCACCGCAATGCTATTAGCTAATAATCATAGCTGGCCTCAGTTATTCCAATCTAGGAATTTGCCAGTATAATTTGCCCTACTACATATGTATAAGCTCTGATGCCAATGCCACAATGCAGTAACAAGTTCAAAGTGATTTGGAATAAATCACCAAGTGACACTGAACTGAAGTGTTAATGGCAGTTATTCAACCTGAGACAAAACCCAACAGTAAGCAAAATACACGGGACACAATTGTAAAACTACCATCCAATTCCTCAAGGGTGAAGGGAGTGGGAAGGTTCTTTGACTGAGCATTAAAGGATATAGTATTTAGAACTTGCTGTTTAAGATTTTGTATTTGCTGGGTAGTGAAGACTGAATTTTTAGGACCATGTTCGTTACAGATTTCGTAGGTGCAAACATTATTAGATCTTTAGATTTGCCATTCAAAATGCTTTTAGTAAAAACCAACTAAAGGAAATCCACCCCACTCCTGAGCAGATACTGTAGCATATGTCCAATATAATAACATTCTCAAATATATAAAGCAGGCGAAATAATCTTGTACTCACTATTGTCAGCCTCCAAAGGACAGTCAATCCCAAATTTGTTCCATTGAAAACATTACTAATTGACAATCATTTGTTATTTCCCCCGATAGGTACTAAAATTCAAATGTACTGATATTTCTTTATCCAAAATATCAGTACCATACATAGTAGATACAATTCTGGGACAATAGTTTACAGATTTTGTGTTTATCTTCTTGATAAAGTCACTAGGGGATGAATCAAGCTGGTTAATTGTATACATGTTGTAGGTCTTATTTTTAAAACAACCACTTACACCTCTGTGGTTACTGTATAAAAGTTAACAGAAGATTAAAGAGCTATAAAGACTAATTTAAATAACCTGAAGTATTTTCCCACTCATGTAATATGGCCTCTCACTGTTTGTTTCTTTATTTGACATTTTATGGTACCTTCCTAGTTCCCGCTTCAAAACCTGTTTTTAAAAAAAAATTTTTTTTTATTGGTTCTTACCCTGTCCCATCTCTTAAGTTTCCAAATTAAATTTAGATGTTTATCTTTATAATGTTTCAATTTAAATTGTATTCCTTTTTAAATCTTACCTTAAAAAAGAAAGTCTTGCCACCACAGTTACATCGAGTGAACACTGTATCAATTGGAGAAGGAATGCCCCATACCTCGCTGATTTTGCGAGGTTTCTCTGTAACTCCTCCCTGGTTTAGCATCCAGAAATAATGACCTAAAGAGATCCAAAATAACCATTGCAATTTGTCTGTTTTCCTTCTTGAGGTTAGTAGCCCAGGAGTCACAGATTTTTCTGAAAACTGTTCAATATATTAAAAATAGCTGGTAATTGAGCTTATCATTTAAAGACTAGGTCACCAAGCTAATGCCGTGTTCAAACTATGGGTCTCTACCAAAAATATTTTAATTCAGCCCAAACATTTTGAAGGACTACTGCTGCTTTTATAATTACCTGATATGAAATTATGCTTTATATATATATATATATATATATATATATATATATATATATCCTTTACGGTAGTAACATCGCTGCAATTATGTGATTTCTGTGGAAAAAAGCAAGTCTTCTGGATTGACTGGTGTGCAGATCTTTGTTTTACATTGTATTGACTATCCACAGACTTCAGGTGGAAGGGATTTTCAATCACAATTTTTCCTTACCATAACTTTCTTGGTGTCACGGTAGTGTACCCCAACACGCAAGATTTAGTCCAACAAGAGACAAGATAAAGCAGATACGTCTTACTGGGCCTTAGAATGGCCGGACTCAACGTAAAACAGAGAAGTGACAGAGTCAGGAACAAGCCGAGGTCAAAGGAACAGAGAGACAGCTAAAACAAGAACTAGCCAAGGTCTGGTACACAGGAGTCAGGAAGCCGGCAAACAAGACAAAGCAGGGATAAAGAGAAAAACGGAGTCAGATACAAAGCCAAGGTCAAGCATGAAAAAACCACTACTGAACGATACAAGCACTAAAGGGAACTGAATCAGAAACCACGATAGGGCAGAGAGCTAAGGGAAAGGTGAGTATAAATACCCTAGTGTTCAATTTGATTGGCCCCTGTCATATCCACGCCCCCAAAACGTGAGTGTAAGGGGAATGTGGAATGACATGGGCCAATGGGAGACCGTTTCACATTTCGGCTCCCACTGTCCCTTTAAGAGCGCTCTTAGAGCCAGACGGGGCACATGACCACCTTCCTGTAACTCCGTCGGACGAGCCGCGCGCGACTCGTGTAGATGCAGGACCGCACGTGGCGGGAACAGAGGAGAGTGGAAGGAGCGCAGAAGGCAAGGAGCGTGAACAGCGTTAGCGGAAATCCAACTGCGTTTCTCAGGCCCATATCCCTTCCAATGCACCAGGTACTGGAGGCAACCCCGGAGAAAACGAGAGTCAAGCACAGCAGCCACCTCGAATTCCTCATGTCCCTCCACAGAAACAGGAGGAGGAGGAGGAGGAACGGTTATAACGTTATAACGGTTAAACAGAAGTGGCTTCAACAAGGAGGTGTGAAAGACGTTAAGAATACGCAGGTTCCTAGAAAGATCTAAGGCATATGAAACAGGATTAATTTTATGTAAGATACGAAAAGGACCGATAAAACGGGGAGCCAGCTTCATAGAAGGCACACAAAGGCGGATATTGCAAGTGGAAAGCCAAACCCTTTTCTCCACAACATAGGATGGAGCCGCCCTGCGATGTTTGTCAACCTGAACCTTTTGGCGAGCAGCAGAGTCCACAAAAGAACGCTGAACCTGCTCCCAGGTAGTACGTAAACCAGCCAAATGCACATCCACAACTGGCATGCCCTGTAAGGAGAATGCAGCTGGAAGAACAACAGGATGCTGGCCATAAACAACGTAGAAAGGGCTATTACTGGAAGATTCATGAGCAGTGTTATTACGAGCAAACTCAGCCCAAAGATGCAGGTCAGCCCAGGTGTTCTGATGGTGGGATACGAAACAACGAAGATACTGCTATAGGGATTGGTTGGCACGTTCAGCAGCTCCATTAGACTGGGGATTAAAGCGGAGGAAAATGAGAGAGAAATGCCCATCTCCGAACAAAAGGCTTTCCAGAACCTGGAAATAAACTGGCTATCCCTATCGGACACTATAGACTCTGGTATACTGTGTAACCGAAACACCTCCCTGGCGAAGATAGAAGCAAGTTCCTTGGATGAGGGCAATTTGACAAGAGACAAGAGAGGGTGCAACAACCACACAAGGAACTCTATGAGAAGACCTCATACTGGCACAAGTAACACATGCCCGTACGTAATCGGTGATGTCCTTGCGTAAGGAAGCCCACCAGAAATATCTAGAAGCTGCTGTTAAGGTTTTAGTAATACCAGGATGCCCAGCAGTTTTGGTGTCATGATAGAGTGACATAATTTCCTGTCTTTCAGGAACATTGACGAACAATTTATCAGCAGGTCTCTCTCTAGGTGCCTTGTTTTGTTTAGCCTGTATGACTTGCAAGAGGGATGAAGAAATAGAGAGAACAGTAGTAGCTATTATTCTGTCCGGGGGAATGACAGGGGTATCATCAAAGTCTTGTTTGTCGGTAGTTTCGAATTGTCTGGACAGAGCGTCAGCTTTAGTGTTACGATCACCTAGTCTGTAGGTGATGATATAATTGAAGCGAGGTAAAAACAGTGACCACGTGGCCTGCCTAGAAGACAATCTCTTGGCTTCACTAAGGTAGGAAAGGTTTTTATGATCAGTAAGTATAAGGATGGGATACTTAGTACCCTCCAAAAAATGTCTCCATTCCTTAAGTGCTACAACAATTGCAAGGAGTTCTCGATTGGCTATGTCATAATTCTTTTCGGCCTTGGACATCAGCTTGGAAAAGAAACCACAAGGATGTAATGGCTTCTCTGGTGATTCCCTTTGAGACAAGACAGCACCCACCCCAATATTTGAAGCATCATCTTCAAGAATAAAAGGCAAAGAAGAGACAGGATGCTGTAAAATAGGAGCATAAGCGAATGCAGTCTTAAGAAATTCAAAAGCCTCAAGTGCTTCCGGGGTCCAGACATGAGTATTACCATCCCTTTTAGTCATTCGGATTATAGGCGCTACAATGGAAGAAAAAAACTTTAATAAAGCGTCTGTAATAGTTAGAAAAACCAAGAAAACACTGAATGGCTTTCAAACCCTGAGGTAGAGGCCATTCTATGACAGCAGAAAGCTTCCTGAGATCCATACGAAAACCCTTAGCAGAAATTAGATACCCAAAGAACTGGACTTTGGATTGATCAAACAAACATTTTTCGAGTTTACAATCGAGAATATTAACAAGAAGGATTTTCAAAACTAATTTAACATGCATGTGATGAGTATGCAAATCAGGTGAATATATTAATATGTCGTCCAAGTACACTATTACAAATGTGCGAATGTACTCTCGTAAGACATCATTAATAAACTCTTGAAACACTGCTGGGGCATTACAAAGACCAAAGGGCATCACAGTGTATTCGTAATGACCACTCCTAGTATTGAATGCAGTTTTCCATTCATGGTCCTTTTTTATACGTATAAGATTGTATGCACCCCTATGGTCCAGTTTAGTAAACACAGTAGCTTGTTTAAGCCTGTCAAATAATTCTGTGATTAAAGGTATAGGGTAAGTATTTTTTATGGTGATTTTATTAAGGCCACTATAGTCGATATAGGGTCTTAAATCGCCCTCCTTCTTCTACACAAAGAAGAAACCAGCCCCTGCCGGAGAAGAGGATCTCCTTATAAACCCCTTTTGTAAAGATTCTTTGATATATTCCTCCATGACAAGGTTTTCTTAAGGAGACAAAGGATACACCCTCCCTTTATTAGGTATAGCGCCAGGTAACAAATCAATAGCACAATCGTAGGGTCTGTGAGGCGGTAACTTTTCAGCCTCCCTTTTATCGAAGACAGATTTAAGAGAATGTACTGAGGTGGTATAACAGTAGACAAAGGAGGAGTAGTAGGAACGTTAATAGAATTCAAAGGGGTGATTTTAATGATACAAGACTCTTGGCAAGAATCACTCCAAGATACTATTTGTCCTGACTCTCAGTCAAAAGTGGGATTATGAGAAAGCAACCATGGGTACCCTAACACGATGTGAGAGGAAGGAGAAGTGATGATCTGAAACCGAATGGTTTCTGAATGTAACAACCCTGTAGACATATGCAACGGTTCAGTTTCATGTGTGATAACTGGGGAGCATAATGGTCTACCATCTATGGCCTCAACGGCCAAGGGTGTCTTCTTCTTTCTAATGGGTATGTTGTGTTTTTTAACAAAGCCAGAATCTATGAAGTTCTCGGCCGCACCAGAATCAACCAGGGCTAGTATGTTCCCTGCTATGCTATTTTTTTCAAGATGCAGGGAGACAGAGAGAAGCAATCTGTTAATAGGTAAATGTGGGGACTCAGATGTCACACCCAAGGCCAGTCCCCTATACGGTCTTAGGTGCGATAGTTTTCCGGACGCACGGGACATTCCTGTCGCATATGGCCCTTCCTACCACAGTACAGGCAAAGTCCCTCCTTTCTCCTATACAATTTTTCAGCATCAGAGAGTTCAGCAACCCCTAATTGCCTGGGCTCCTCCTCTGATACTTTGGAACCCTCAGGATTAGCAACTCTAGGAGTATTAAGTGTAACAAGGCGTCTATTCCTAGTCTTGGTATATAGCCTGGCACGAATCCTATTGTCTATATCGATGAGATAGTCGATGAGATCTTCTAAGGGTATAGGAAGGCCGCTACCTCATCCAATATAGATTCAGATAGACCTTCCATGCACGCAGTAGTCAGCCCATTGTTGGTCCAATCTACCTGTGAAGCAAGGGTACGGAACTGAATAGCATAATCGGCAACAGACTTAGATCCCTGTTTAATTCTCATTAACGCCCTGGCGGCATTCTTCAACCTTTTAGTTGTGTCAAAGGTTCTACGAAAAGCCATAAGGAAGCTACTGAAATCATGCACCATTGGTCCATTAGCCTCCCAAATAGGATTTACCCACTCAAGTGCTTTATCTGTAAGTTGGTGCATAAGGAAACCAACCTTAGACCTATCAGTGTGAAATGAACGTGGATACATTTCAAAGTGGAATTCCACTTGATTAAGGAATCCCCTGCATGTCTTAGCATCCCCTCCATACCTAGGTGGAGTGGTTAGATGTGCAGAAGCATTAGGCATGGTAGATGTGTCTGGTACAAGTGTACCGTGTCTTGCGGTCAGTGCCCGCCTTCCTGTAAACCCCGTCGGACGAGCCGCGTGCAGCTCGTGCAGATGAAGGACCGCGCACGGCGGGAACAGAGGACCTCGGAGAGGGTAAGTACCGCTACACTTGGTTTTTGCTTCGCAAGTACTGCCAAGCCTCAATAGCAAGCCAGTAACCAACCTCATGCTGATGATTTGCATTAACAATTGAAACTGCTGTCCATGAGTGGTTCACCGGCTTTGCATCTTTTCCTGAGTTGTGTTTCAAAGCTGTTGTATACAGAAAACACAGACTGTAAGGAATCCATGTTAAAATTGAATGAGGCAAAAATGTGATTCCTTATTGAGCTAATTTGCATATGCCCACCTATAATCCTTTACTGGGTCACTCTTCTCTCAACACTCTTTTGAATATAGGAATTTGGATGGGATTTCTAAAAAAAAAAAAAAAAACATCCCTCCATTCATCCAGTCCCAATAGATCTAGGAGTTGCTTATTACCATGTTTTTTTTTGCTTCCTCCAAGCAATGAGAACCATTTCAAGCTTAGTCTTTCCCATTAAAAACAGCACCCAGGATGTTGCCAAAGCCCTCATTTCCAGAGCCCTGGACAGCCTGGATACTCCCCATAAGTATATGCTGCATATAGTTTCCTTCCCATGTATTTCCTTTTAGATGGTCTTCAGAGCTTGGTGACTAGACTGGTGATCACATGAGCTGGACCCCTTTTTAAGTTTATTCTCAGAAGGGAATGAACTAACCCAAAAGTATATGTATATACCGATACATAAATATATGAAATAGCCAGAGAAGAAAATTACAGTAACTATGAATACATTTTCCTTACATAATTGCCTACAATAGGCCCTACATGTACCAAAATATGCATGTTTCCTTTCTCTGATCTTGTTGCAAAGTAACAGAAAGCACAATCTTACCTCGGAATACAACCATCGAACCATTCTGGAGGGTTGTCATGCCATCTGCTGGAGGTCCAATGCACAAGTTCATCTGTGGGTCTATAGCAAAGTGTTGGGAAATGATTAAATATTTCTTAGTACTTAAAGTTGGGAAATGAATTGGTATTTAATTCAGTGTACATTTTCTGATATGAGCTTACTTATATAAATATCAGAGTTAAAAAAAAATATATACAAAAAAAAAAATACAAATAAAAAGTAAATATCAGTTAAGTATTTATGCTGACTAATAAAAATTGTAGATCATTGACAAAGGAATAAGATATTTAAGGCCAGAAAAGCCCAAATAAAAATAAATAAATAAAGAAATCAGCTTTTTTCCCCAAGCTTCTAACTCCTGGTGTAGTGTGACTAACTCAATATTTTATTATTGAGATAACATGCCTAATGTTTCAATCCACATGCTATTTATTGGATTATTTATTTGAGTTTCAAAAATGTACGTCTCACTTCCTTAAGAATGTATTACATAAGTTTAGCAGTAATATTTTCAAGTATGTTCTAGACCTTAGAGTTTGGTTATAATAAATAAATATTTTCTAGTGAGCCATTAGTCAGGGCTACTATTGACTTGAATAAATTTATTTATCTATATGTTCTAATGCATTCCTGCAAAATATCATCACCTTTTATGTTTCCTGTCAGTTACTGGAAAAACTGATGCATATTTCTCAATTACTCGTTCTAGAAAATTAGAGCATGTATCGGCATACAGCCAACATATGGTAATTTAAGAAAATGTCCAACTCCTCCTTGGGCCACAAATGAGTTAACACATTGCTGGCTATTGCCCATAATGCTTATTTTAATTCTTACTCCCCTACTGAACAATATATAGATATAGATTCAATATTGCTTACTTACCATTTGGACTCCTGAACTTATTAAGTAGCAACAACCATGCTGTTGATTTATTTGTGTATAGGCCTGGGACTCCTATTAAATTTGGAGTTTGAGGTATATTTGCCCTCCTTTTTATTTCCTCAATAAGCTGTATGAATCTTGATCCTGGTGGCTGATTCCATTTGGGCTGTAGGATAGTGGTTATTGTGTGATGTGAGGGTACTTTAATCTGGTCAGAACCAGGCTGCCTTGTCTCTGATGATGGTGTACTTACTGGTCGTCTCATTTCAATGCATACTTGTGTCAAGCGCTGGAGATCAATCTCTGATATTTTTATCTTGTTTTCTGGATCCTTTAGCAAATCACAGATGTGAAATGGGTCAATGGGCAAGGGATAGTTGGTTTCATTCTTATTTTCAATTTCTTCAATGCCAATTGGTCTGGCTGTAATGTAACTCCTAGGCTTTTGTGTAATGGAATCTTCTTTACCAGGTGGGTTTGTACTTTGTGACAGTATAGGTGATTTTGTGGTCATGTGTGTTTGACCATATTGAGGCATATTCGTAGATGAAGACTTGGTAAACATGTTATCTTTTGGAGTAAAGTTAAAGATATCCTTTGTTGTTGCTCCTTCTGGTTTTTGAGTTGTGGTTATTCTTTGTTCCATATCGATCTTGGGTTTTATTGTAGTCTTGGGTAAAAGATTGAGATCCTTTTCAGGTTGTCTTGTAGTGTATTTCAGAGACTCATCAGTGGATGTTGTTCTTTCTTGATGGCTTACAGATGGTTTGATTGTGGATTTTTGAGATTCATCGAAATTTATGACAGTGGAAGTTTTACCCATATCGCCATCCATTAGGGTTACTGTCTCCTTTGTCTGCACAGAAGCTGAAGATGGGGTGTCACCAGCAGACTTTGTGGTGGTATCAATTTTTGTTCCTGCAGTTGGTGATGTATTTTCATTGGTCATTTGAGTACTCAACCTGATTTCAATACTTTCCACTGGAGTGCTTGATATGTCTGGCATTTTTGTTTCTGTTCCAACAGATATCGTAGTTGTACTTTCCCCAGATAGATTATGTTTATGTTCAACTGCCTTAACTGTAGTGGGCCCTACATTAGTTGGTGATGGGGAGGTACTTTTATTAAAACTAGAAGTTGGGTCTTTTGTTGGTCCTGTTGAAATAATATCACTTAACCTTGTGTTTGTAGTTTCCTGTAATCCTTGAGAATTTGTTGTTTGACTATTACCATATGATTTAAGGTCTTTGGTACTTTGTTCCTGGACAGGGGCCAATGTGCTCGCTGTAAAATCAAAAGAATTTGTATGTAAATTATTCAGTGTTTCAGCTGTCACATCTTTCATACTTTCTACATAATTACCATTATTTATTGAAGTTACATTTTCTAATTCGATTACACCGGAATCCTGCTCACCACTCACTAAAATTGGGGATTGTGTACTTGAGATATTTACAAAAGGTAAGTACACATCTGCCCTTGTATTAGAACTAGCAAACTGCTTTGGACCTAATGTTCTAAGAAGAATTGTTAGTGTCTTGCTTATACTTCCCTTCTCTCTCACAGTTGTCGGGCATATTCTGTTTATTCCAGTGTTAATATGTACATTTAACATCTGGTCTTTTTCGGTTTGTGCACTAGCTGAAGATACACCCTCTGTGGTTATTGCATTAGTAACTGAAGATTCTTTGCTACTTTTGCTTATTAACTCAGAATCCACGGGAGATGGGTCTGGTTTTCCTGGATACCTTAATGTTGAATGATCTGTATCACTGATAATGGCAGTAGATAAATCACCATCAGTTAGGGGTGAGTATTTAGTTAATCCATGGGAGATTATATTAGGTATAGTTGATTTTTCTGCATCATGTTTTACAGCATGTGAACTCAACATCAGCTCTGTTCTCATGCCCATGGTGACTGAAGGAAAATTGTGTTGTTTTTTACTTGTAACCAAGGTGGTCTGGAGGCCAATATCATCTGTCTCCATTCTCTGAATGTCCTCTACATTCTCTTTGACAAATGCAGATTGATTTTTACTGATACTTTCATCCAAAACAGAACTAAAAGGTTCCTCAGCCATTATTGTAGACACAATATCCTCTTTAGCAACAATTGTTGTAGAGGTGCCAAAGCTGAACTTTCTTGCATGGGTAACATCTGCAAGCAGTGCCTGCTCTGTATTTGTTCCTGATGCCTCTGTTGGATACAGTATACTTGGCTTCCAGGTAAATGGTTCACTGCTATCTCTTGATTGTGTTGTCCTTTCTCCAAAATATGGACTTGTTTTCCCAGTTACTGTAGTTGTTTTTTCTTCTTTTTGGTCAGTCTGTATTGTACTATCAGTACCTTCTGAAACCATTCCTTCACTTACCCTATCACTTTTTGGCTCCTGGGTAGTGTTAATGGTTTCCTTTGGACTAGTACTTCTAGAACTCAGCAAATCAGGTACCCTTTCTGTTGCGGTACCTAGGAAATTCTCTGTACTATTCACTTCTGAGATTATTGTTAACAATGGACTTACAGTTTCATAAATTTTTAGAAGGTTGGGTTGTTCTGTATGTACTATTTTAGAACTATCTATGCCAGGTCCTTTACTAGACACAAAAGAAGGGAGGGAGCCAAGGACATCAGGTACCACAGTTTCATTGCTAACGCTAACTGCAGTGGGTGTTGAGCTATTTTCATTTATATCTTGGGGTGTATCAACTTCATTTAATTGCTCTACATCATATTTTGGTGTACCCTGTATGTCTGCATGTGTGTCCAGTGTTGAAGAAATGGTGGAACTATTTGAATTATCTGCATCCTTCATTATAGTGATTATAGGTAGTTGTGTTATTATAGGTATATCCAGGTTTCCTGTAACAATGGTTGAATTGGGATCGTATAAAACTACACTTGTTCTTGAATTGCCATGGCTGGTATCAACAGTGGTTAGATTTGTTTTGCTATATGCTTCAGATGAAGAAAGCTTAGATAGCTGTTCAGTAGCTTGTGTCAAAAGAGGCTGTTGCGATTTTTTTGTAGCCAATATTGTAGGTGAATGAAAAGTTTCTAGAGTGGTTATTATCACTCTTACATCATTAAGTGTAGTGGAGTATTCTGTACTATCACTAGTGGCATCTGACACCACTGTAGTATGTTCAGTCCTTTTTGCAGTATAGCCTGACATTTCTTGACTCAGAACATCAGTTGGATTTGGCTCTCCTGTAACAATGTCTGGACTTACTGTAGACTCTTTGGTGGAGGCAGAACTAATACCATGAGTAGGTGATAATGTAGTATCAATACCAGAAACTACAGCCTCACTAACCCTGGCTGAGAATTCTCTATTTTGGTCTGTAGGCAATGAAGTAATTGAAGACTGATATGAGCTATGCTTTGTTACTGTCTCAAGGGATTTGGTATCTAGTGTTGTAAAACTAGAGATTTTTTTTGTAATGGTTTCCACCTTGATGGTTGTTGAATTTTCATTTACAGTCTTTGAAGCTCCAGTTATATTTTCTGCTTGTCTCACACTTGCTGTCTCAATTGTATGTGTTTCTCCCCTTTCTGTAGTCTTGCTAAATATGGTTGACAAATCTGTACTTAATTTATCAGGCAATGATGTTATTGGGGACGGATCTGAGCTTTGATTTTCTGTGGCCATAATTGATTTGGTATCCAATATAGTGAAGCTATGCAATGATTTTGTACTTGTCCCCACAGTGACAAGTGTTGAAAGGTCTTCTAGAGTCTTTGTACTGTCAGGTATATTCTCTGTCTGTCTCACGCTTGGTATCTCACTTGGTTGACCTGGATGATCTGTGCTCAGTGCATATGTCTTATGTGTTTCTCCTGTAAGTCTGTCTGTATTTACTAGAGTCTCTATGGTGGAGATAGAATTAGGATCATCAATAGGTGATAATGTTGTAATGTTGTCAGAATCTATAATCTTGCTAAAAATGGTTGTTGCAATTGTTCCAACTGTGACAGATGTTGAATGGTCTTCTAAAATCTGTGTTCTTTCAGGTATATTCTCTGTCTGTCTCACACTGGTTTGACCTGAATGATCCGTGGTCAGTGGATCAGTTATATGTGCTTCTCCTGTAACCCTGTCTACCCTTGCTGTAGTCTCTATGGTGGTGGTAGAACTAATATCAGCAGTATGTGTCTTGGTCACACCTGGTGTTTCACGAGTTTGGCCTAAATGCTCTGTGCTTGGTGTGTTCGTTGTATGTGTTCCTCCTGTAACCCTGTCCAGATTTTCTGTTGTCTCTATGATGGGAGTAGATAGAACATCATCATTAGGTGACAATGTATTATTACTACCAATGTCTACAGTCTCCCTAAACATAGTTGACAAATCTGTATTTAATTCATTAGGCAGTGTTGTCATCAGGGTCAGATCTGAGGTTTGTTTTTCTATAGCCTCGACTGATTTGGTATCCAATGTTGTGAAACTAGATAATTGTTTTGTTGATGTCTCCACTGTGACAGGTGTTGAATGGTCTTCTAGAGTCTGTGTACTGTCAGGTATATTCTCTGCCTGTCTCACGCTTGGTGTCTCACTTGGTTGACCTGAATGATCTAGAGTCAGTGCATTAGTTATATGTGTTTCTCCTGTAGCCCTAACTGGATTTCCTGTTGTCTCTATGTGGAGGTAGGTTGAACATCATCATTAGGTGATAATGTTTTAATGCTGTCAGTATCTATTGTCTTGCTAAATATGGTTGACAAATCTGTATTTAGCTTACCAGGCAATGTGGTTCTTGGGGACAAATCTGAGGTTTGTTTTTCTGTAGCCTCGACTGATTTGGTATCCAATGTTGTGAAGCTAGATAATGGTTTTGTTGATGTCTCCACTGTGACAGGTGTTGAATGGTCTTCTAGAGTCTGTGTACTGTCAGGTATATTGTCTGCCCGTCTCACACTTTGTGTCTCACTTGGTTTAACTGAATGATCTGGAGTCAGTGTATTAGTTATATGTGTTTCTTCTCTAACCCTGTCTACACTTGCTGTAGTCTCAATGGGGGAGGTAAAACTAATATCAGCATCAGATGTCTGTGCCACAGTTTGTGTCTCACTTGGTTGTACTGAATGACCTGTGCTTGGTGGATTAGTTGTATGTGTTTCTCCTTTAACCCTGTCTACTCTTGCTGTAGTCTCTATGGTGGAGGAAGAACTAATATCAGCAATAGGTGTCTTGGTCACACCTGGTGTTTCACGAGTTTGGCCTAAATGCTCTGTGCTTGGTGCGTTAGTTGTATGTGTTCCTCCTGTAACCCTGTCCAGATTTTCTGTTGTATCTATAATGGGGGTAGATTGAACATCATCATTAGTTGATAATGTATGATCACTACCAGTGTCTACAGTCTTGCTAACCATGGTTGACAAATCTGTTTTCAACTCTTCAGGTGGTGTGGTTACAATGGACAGATCTGAGCTTTGCTTTTCTGTAGCCTCGACAGATTTGGTATCCAATGTTGTAAAGCTAGTCGATTTTTTTGTAACTGTCCCCTCTGTAACAGATGTTGATTGGTCTTCTAGAGTCTTTGTACTGTCAGGTATATTCTCTGTCTGTCTCACACTTGGTGTCTCACTTGGTTGACCTGAATGATCTGGGGTGAGTGGATTAGTTATATGTATTTCTCCTGTAACCCTGTCTACCCTTATTGTAGTCTCTATGCTGGAAGTAGAGCTAATATCAGCAGTAGGTTTCTGTGTAACACCTGGTGCTTCACGCGTTTGACCTAAATGCTCTGTGCTTGGTGTGTTCGTTGTATGTGTTTCTCCTGTCACCCTGTCTGGATTGCCTGTTGTCTCTATGATGGGAGTAGATAGAACATCATCATTAGGTGACAATGTATTATTACTACCAATGTCTACAGTCTCCCTAAACATAGTTGACAAATCTGTATTTAATTCATTAGGCAGTGTTGTTATCAGGGTCAGATCTGAGCTTTGCTTTTCTGTAGCCTCAACTGATTTGGTATCCAACGTTGTGAAGCTAGATAATTGTTTTGTTGATGTCTCCACTGTGACAGGTGTTGAATGGTCTTCTAGAGTCTGTGTACTGTCAGGTATATTCTCTGCCTGTCTCACACTTGGTGTCTCACTTGGTTGACCTGAATGATCTAGAGTCAGTGCATTAGTTATATGTGTTTCTCCTGTAGCCCTAACTGGATTTCCTGTTGTCTCTATGCTGGGGGTAGGTTGAACATCATCATTAGGTGATAATGTTTTAATGCTGTCAGTATCTATTGTCTTGCTAAATATGGTTGACAAATCTGTATTTAGCTTACCAGGCAATGTGGTTCTTGGGGACAAATCTGAGGTTTGTTTTTCTGTAGCCTCGACTGATTTGGTATCCAATGTTGTGAAGCTAGATAATTGTTTTGTTGATGTCTCCACTGTGACAGGTGTTGAATGGTCTTCTAGAGTCTGTGTACTGTCAGGTATATTGTCTGCCCGTCTCACACTTTGTGTCTCACTTGGTTTAACTGAATGATCTGGAGTCAGTGTATTAGTTATATGTGTTTCTTCTGTAACCCTGTCTACACTTGCTGTAGTCTCAATGGGGGAGGTAAAACTAGTATCAGCATCAGATGTCTGTGTCACAGTTTGTGTCTCACTTGGTTGTACTGAATGATCTGTGCTTGGTGGATTAGTTGTATGTGTTTCTCCTTTAACCCTGTCTACCCTTGCTGTAGTCTCTATGGTGGAGGAAGAACTAATATCAGCAATAGGTGTCTTGGTCACACCTGGTGTTTCACGAGTTTGGCCTAAATGCTCTGTGCTTGGTGCGTTAGTTGTATGTGTTCCTCCTGTAACCCTGTCCAGATTTTCTGTTGTATCTATAATGGGGGTAGATTGAACATCATCATTAGTTGATAATGTATGACCACTACCAGTATCTATAGTCTTGCTAACCATGGTTGACAAATCTGTTTTCAACACTTCAGGTGGTGTGGTTACAATGGACAGATCTGAGCTTTGCTTTTCTGTAGCCTCGACTGATTTGGTATCCAATGTTGTAAAGCTAGTCGATTTTTTTGTAACTGTCCCCTCTGTAACAGATGTTGATTGGTCTTCTAGAGTCTTTGTACTGTCAGGTATATTCTCTGTCTGTCTCACGCTTGGTGTCTCACTTGGTTGACCTGAATGATCTGGGGTCAGTGGATTAGTTATATGTATTTCTCCTGTAACCCTGTCTACCCTTATTGTAGTCTCTTTGCTGGAAGTAGAGCTAATATCAGCAGTAGGTTTCTGTGTAACACCTGGTGTTTCACGCGTTTGACCTAAATGCTCTGTGCTTGGTGTGTTCGTTGTATGTGTTTCTCCTGTCACCCTGTCCGGATTGCCTGTTGTCTCTATGATGGAAGTAGATTGAACATCATCATTAGGTGACAATGTATTATCACTACCAATGTCTACAGTCTCCCTAAACATAGTTGACAAATCTGTATTTAATTCATTAGGCAGTGTTGTTATCAGGGTCACATCTGAGCTTTGCTTTTCTGTAGCCTCAACTGATTTGGTATCCAACGTTATGAAGCTAGATAATTGTTTTGTTGATGTCTCCACTGTGACAGGTGTTGAATGGTCTTCTAGAGTCTGTGTACTGTCAGGTATATTCTCTGCCTGTCTCACACTTGGTGTCTCACTTGGTTGACCTGAATGATCTAGAGTCAGTGCATTAGTTATATGTGTTTCTCCTGTAGCCCTAACTGGATTTCCTGTTGTCTCTATGCTGGGGGTAGGTTGAACATCATCATTAGGTGATAATGTTTTAATGCTGTCAGTATCTATTGTCTTGCTAAATATGGTTGACAAATCTGTATTTAGCTTACCAGGCAATGTGGTTCTTGGGGACAAATCTGAGGTTTGTTTTTCTGTAGCCTCGACTGATTTGGTATCCAATGTTGTGAAGCTAGATAATTGTTTTGTTGATGTCTCCACTGTGACAGGTGTTGAATGGTCTTCTAGAGTCTGTGTACTGTCAGGTATATTGTCTGCCCGTCTCACACTTTGTGTCTCACTTGGTTTAACTGAATGATCTGGAGTCAGTGTATTAGTTATATGTGTTTCTTCTGTAACCCTGTCTACACTTGCTGTAGTCTCAATGGGGGAGGTAAAACTAGTATCAGCATCAGATGTCTGTGTCACAGTTTGTGTCTCACTTGGTTGTACTGAATGATCTGTGCTTGGTGGATTAGTTGTATGTGTTTCTCCTTTAACCCTGTCTACCCTTGCTGTAGTCTCTATGGTGGAGGAAGAACTAATATCAGCAATAGGTGTCTTGGTCACACCTGGTGTTTCACGAGTTTGGCCTAAATGCTCTGTGCTTGGTGCGTTAGTTGTATGTGTTCCTCCTGTAACCCTGTCCAGATTTTCTGTTGTATCTATAATGGGGGTAGATTGAACATCATCATTAGTTGATAATGTATGATCACTACCAGTATCTACAGTCTTGCTAACCATGGTTGACAAATCTGTTTTCAACTCTTCAGGTGGTGTGGTTACAATGGACAGATCTGAGCTTTGCTTTTCTGTAGCCTCGACTGATTTGGTATCCAATGTTGTAAAGCTAGTCGATTTTTTTGTAACTGTCCCCTCTGTAACAGATGTTGATTGGTCTTCTAGAGTCTTTGTACTGTCAGGTATATTCTCTGTCTGTCTCACACTTGGTGTCTCACTTGGTTGACCTGAATGATCTGGGGTCAGTGGATCAGTTATATGTATTTCTCCTGTAACCCTGTCTACCCTTATTGTGTCTCTATGCTGGAAGTAGAGCTAATATCAGCAGTAGGTTTCTGTGTAACACCTGGTGTTTCACGCGTTTGACCTAATGCTCTGTGCTTGGTGTGTTCGTTGTATGTGTTTCTCCTGTCACCCTCCGGATTGCCTGTTGTCTATGATGGGAGTAGATTGAACATCATCATTAGGTGACAATGTATTATCACTACCAATGTCTACAGTCTCCCTAAACATAGTTGACAAATCTGTATTTAATTCATTAGGCAGTGTTGTTATCAGGGTCAGATCTGAGCTTTGCTTTTCTGTAGCCTCAACTGATTGTTGTGAAGCTAGATAATTGTTTTGTTGATGTCTCCACTGTGACAGGTGTTGAATGGTCTTCTAGAGTCTGTGTACTGTCAGGTATATTCTCTGTCTGTCTCATGCTTGGTGTCTCACTTGGTTTAACTGAATGATCTGGAGTCAGTGTATTAGTTATATGTGTTTTTTCTGTAACCCTGTCTACACTTGCTGTAGTCTCAATGGGGGAGGTAAAACTAGTATCAGCATCAGATGTCTGTGTCACAGTTTGTGTCTCACTTGGTTGTACTGAATGATCGGTGCTTGGTGGATTAGTTTTATGTGTTTCTCCTTTAACCCTGTCTACCCTTGCTGTAGTCTCTATGGTGGAGGAAAAACTAATATCAGCAATAGGTGTCTTGGTCACACCTGGTGTTTCACGAGTTTGGCCTAAATGCTCTGTGCTTGGTATGTTAGTTGTATGTGTTCCTCCTGTAACCCTGTCCAGATTTTCTGTTGTCTCTACAATGGGGGTAGATTGAATATCATCATTAGTTGATAATGTATGATCACTACCAGTATCTACAGTCTTGCTAACCATGATTGACAAATCTGTTTTCAACTCTTCAGGTGGTGTGGTTACAATGGACAGATCTGAGCTTTGCTTTTCTGTAGCCTCGACTGATTTGGTATCCAATGTTGTAAAGCTAGTCGATTTTTTTGTAACTGTCCCCTCTGTAACAGATGTTGATTGGTCTTCTAGAGTCTTTGTACTGTCAGGTATATTCTCTGTCTGTCTCACACTTGGTGTCTCACTTGGTTGACCTGAATGATCTGGGGTCAGTGGATCAGTTATATGTATTTCTCCTGTAACCCTGTCTACCCTTATTGTTGTCTCTATGCTGGAAGTAGAGCTAATATCAGCAGTAGGTTTCTGTGTAACACCTGGTGTTTCACGCGTTTGACCTACATGCTCTGTGCTTGGTGTGTTCGTTGTATGTGTTTCTCCTGTCACCCTGTCCGGATTGCCTGTTGTCACTATGATGGGAGTAGATTGAACATCATCATTAGGTGACAATGTATTATCACTACCAATGTCTACAGTCTCCCTAAACATAGTTGACAAATCTGTATTTAATTCATTAGGCAGTGTTGTTATCAGGGTCAGATCTGAGCTTTGCTTTTCTGTAGCCTCAACTGATTTGGTATCCAACGTTGTGAAGCTAGATAATTGTTTTGTTGATGTCTCCACTGTGACAGGTGTTGAATGGTCTTCTAGAGTCTGTGTACTGTCAGGTATATTCTCTGTCTGTCTCATGCTTGGTGTCTCACTTGGTTGACCTGAATGATCTAGAGTCAGTGCATTAGTTATATGTGTTTCTCCTGTAGCTCTAACTGGATTTCCTGTTGTCTCTATGGTGGGGGTAGGTTGAACATCATCATTAGGTGATAATGTTTTACTGTTGTCAGTATCTATTGTCTTGCTAAATATGGTTGACAAATCTGTATTTAGCTTACCGGGCAATGTGGTTCTTGGGGACAAATCTAAGGTTTGTTTTTCTGTAGCTTCGACTGATATAGTATCCAATGTTGTGAAGCTAGACAATGTTTTTTTATTTGACCCCTCTGACACAGGTGTTAAGTGGTCTTCTAGAGTCTGTGTACTGTCAGGTATATTGTCTGTCTGTCTCACACTTTGTGCCTCACTTGGTTTAACTGAATGATCTGGGGTCAGTGTATTAGTTATATGTGTTTCTTCTCTAACCCTGTCTACACTTGCTGTAGTCTCAATGGGGGAGGTAAAACTAGTATCAGCATCAGATGTCTGTGTCACAGTTTGTGTCTCACTTGGTTGAACTGAATGATCTGTGCTTGGTGGATTATTTGTATGTATTTCTTCTGTAACCCTGTCTACCCCTGCTGTAGTCTCTATGGTGGAGGTAGAACTAATATCAGCAGTAGGTGTCTTGGTCACACCTGGTGTTTCACGAGTTTGGCCTAAATGCTCTGTGCTTGGTGTGTTAGTTGTATGTGTTCCTCCTGTAACCCTGTCGAGATTTTCTGTTGTCTCTATGATGGAAGTAGATTGAACATCATCATTAGTTGATAATGTATGATTACTACCAATATCTACAGTCTTGCTAAATATGGTTGACAAATCTGTTTTCAACTCTTCAGGTGGTGTGGTTACAATGGACAGATGTGAGCTTTGCTTTTCTGTAGCCTTGACTGATTTGGTATCCAATGTTGTAAAGCTAGTCAATTTTTTTGTAACTGTCCCCTCTGTAACAGATGTTGATTGGTCTTCTAGAGTCTTTGTACTGTCAGGTATATTCTCTGTCTGTCTCACGCTTGGTGTCTCACTTGGTTGACCTGAATGATCTGGGGTCAGTGGATCAGTTAAATGTATTTCTCCTGTAACCCTGTCTACCCTTACTGTAGTCTCTATGGTGGAGGTAGAGCTAAAAGCAGTGGGTTTCTGTGTAACACCTGGTGCTTCACGCGTTTGGCCTAAATGCTCTGTGCTTGGTGTGTTCGTTGTATGTGTTTCTCCTGTCACCCTGTCCGGATTGCCTGTTGTCTCCATGATGGGAGTAGATTGAACATCATCATTAGGTGACAATGTATGATCACTAGGTATTGTTTCAGCTTCTATAGGAGTTGTACATGTAACGCAGTGTGTAAGGGATACTGTTCTATATGTAGCTTCAGAAATAATGAGCAACTGACCTTGACTTGGTGTACTCACTGTCATGTCTGTACTGTGAGCTTCTGTTCCTTTGTGTGATGTTGTATTAAGGAGCATGGCACTGGAAAAATGTTCTGCACCTTCCTTCTCTCTGATATTTGTTGACTGGTCTGGAAGTGTTTGCGTTGTTTTATCTTCTCTCTGTCCCATGTTTAGGGTCTCATCCATCACTGTTGGCCACTGTGTCACATATTGTGTATGTCCAGCCTGATCTTGTGTATTAACTAAATTAGAGATGGTTACTATGTGATTTACATCTGTATCTTCACTATTTAGTGGTTTTGCTTCTATACGTTGTGTGAAGTCTGTGTTTAAGTTAAAGATAGCGGGACTTGCTAAATTTACTATTTTTATTGGCCCACTTTCACTAGGTGCCCAATTTGTTAGACTTAAATATGAATTACTCAATTGGGGTTTTTCTGTTCTTAGTATATTTTCTACATTCGGTATTTCAGTATTTGCGCGTGGATACTGCTCAGAATCACTGGGGAAGGAATTTGTATTAGTGTTAAGAATTATTTCTGTGACTGCAGAAAATGGCCTACTATCTAAAACTGTGGGGAAAGAATTTAAAATTTCCATAGGTACATTTAAATTCTCTGGGCCTTCTGATAAAAGAGTTGGCAAACTTGCTGCATCATTTTGTTTTGTACTAAATGCTGAATTTGCTGTGTTTGGTTCTCCTGTTATTTTTAACCCTTCTGTACTTAAGCTTGGACTCATTTTAACATCTGCATTATTTTCTACCATTTTTTCATCATTAAAAGGATTATTACTATAAACTGGTGACTTATTGACAGTCTGGGCGTAAGGTGGAGAATTTGATGTCGCTGTTTCAGGTCTACTTGCGAGAGTCGTATCCTCCTGTAGATGCTTTGTAGTTGGGTCAGTGTTTTGAGAATACTTTGTATATGTTTCAGTAGCATTTTCTTGTTGGATACTACTCGTCAAAACAATAACAGTTTCCATGTATTTGTCATTACTTGTAAATTTCTTACTTAGTTGATAAGGCTTGTCTGTTCCCAGGGATGGTTGTTTGGTTTTGTCCTCCGGAGAAGTAGAATGTTGTATGAGTGTACTCATAGTTGGATTCCTTAAAGTATGTTCTTCACTAGGCAAAATGCTTGTTGATGTGCTTGTTGCTGTTGTTTTATTAGATGCTACATCTTTCCCTGTGGATGCTTTGGGTGATGTTTCAACTGCGTCCTCTGGTTTAGCAGTACTTTGGAAGTCCTTAGTTGTCAACTTAGTTGTGACTTCAGTTGTTGTTGAAGGTGATGTTTGGAAAAAGTCCATTCCACTTCCATCATCTCCAGAACCATCATCTTTAAATGTAGGTTCAGGTGTTGGAGGAAATTCCTTCTCTTTTCGTCTCTTTGGTGGCACTAGTGGTTTTTCATCTGGAAAAAAGTAAATGATTAAATTGTACTCTCATATTATATAATAAACCTAAGTTTACCTAAGTTTATCCAACCTTTCTTTTCTTGGAGCTTGAGATGGTTGGTGTATATGACTATATCACAGAACTCCACAACAATACAACTCACAATTAAGGATATGAAAGCTACAGTAGACAAGTTTATACAACTTTACAAAAAACAAACAAAAAACAATTGTTCTTTTGTACACAATTTACTTAAAATGCAATTAAGCCATAGTCACATAACAATTATTATAAATACCCTCTACAATAGTCGAAGCATCAGTCACTAACTCCATTACTTGTAATGAATACTAATGAAAAAACAGATAAGATAACAACTTATAAATGTTTAACTATTTAACGTATAATCAACATGGTCCAGAACACTGAGTACTACCAAACTTTCAACTCTTTTTGCTGAACTTCTTTGTAATTCCAGGATGCCTTATTAATGGAGCTAAACACATTATTGGCCAAAAGATAGAGGCACACACCAATAAAGTGAAGCACAGTATGAACAGACTGTTAGGTTTTAGATGATCAATGCACACAGTTGTGAAGCCTGTTTCAGCTGCTCATAAACTCAAGCCTTGGGACCATTTATATTTTGCCTGGTTCTTCAGCTACTAGGCATCAACTCCAAAGCCTATCAGTATGCGGCCATTAAACATAAAACCATAAAAACAAGCCCAGTTTAGTCTACCAGAGGAAGTAATCTCTTTTAGCTTCATGTGCATCAACAACCCAGATTAATTTAATTGTACTTCGTTCTCACTGTATCCCACTGAAAGTGCTTATCCAAAGTGACTACTGATTTGAATCATGGAACATCAGAGAAATACCACATTGATGTACAATACAACAACAAAAAAAATCAGGGTAATATTGACACCTTGACTACCTGGACACAGATAGTTTGAGGTTAACCCTTAATCCCATGTGCAGATTACATGTTAGAGCCCAGGAAAATGGGCATCCCCCTGCTCGACGTGGTATGAAGAATGGGATAGGAATCACTTATCTAGCATTTACTCAATATTATTGGAGTCTCAGGGGACCCCAATATGTTTATGCAATTTTTTACAAGAGAGAGTATTGAGTATGTATGACTCTCTACATGACATATGCAGTTGCTGTGATTTTTTTTTGTTCTGCTGCAAATTCGGAGTCGCTAATGGTCAGATTTTGTAGTATGGAACATATCAGTAACAGCTACTTTACAGCCACTTTATTGAGAAGCATCTGGCCTGTAAAATTTGCAGAAAAGACTACTTCACTGATTTGGAGTCTGTACATGCGACATTTCAGTTCACATTGTAAAAGGGACACTCCAGGCACCCAGACCACTTCTGCCCATTGGAGTGGTCTGGGTGCCAACTCCCACTACTCTTAACCCTGAAAGTGTAATTATTGCAATTTTTTATAAGAAGCAGGAAGAAGAAGGAAGAATCAGCGACGTGGGACATCGTTGCTGCCTCTGGTAAGTTACCGAAGGGGTTTTCATCCCTTCAGCAACCGGGGATTGGGGGGTGGGAGGGAGAGGGTACCTGCAGTGCCAGGAAAACAGATTGTTTTCCTGGCACTGGAGTTTCCCTTTAACTTTCATTCCAGGCTGTCAAGTGTTAAATCCGTGCACATCTGGCATCTTTCATCAGATGCATATAGGAGGAGGGTGATAGACAGGGCCAGCGTTTCCTATAGGCTAGTTAGGCGGCCATCTAGGGTGCGGCTTAAGGGGGGGGGGGCAGTAGTGGCTTTACTTCTCATTTGGCCATCGAACTGTATTAATTATTTATAGTGTCCACTGGCCATGTTAATGGGTGCTAGGAAGCACTTACATGGCTGCTGACTAGCAGCCAGTAGAACACTGGTCCAGCGGCATCCACCTCAGCTCGCAATGCCTGGCCCCCTTCCAGACATCTATTGCGGCGGCAGCACAAGGGCACATTATTTGCTCGTTTCCGTCCTGTGCATAAGGAGAAATGGGCGGGAGCATAGCAGTGGGGCTACGACAGAGAGACTGAAGCGCTGCCAAGCAGCTTGGTGCACGGAAGATGCCTGAAACACATAAACAGCACTGATATGTGAAATTAAGGTAAGAGGGTTAATGTATGTGTTTCAGAAAATGTGTGTCTATATGGATCTGTATAGGTCAGTGCGTTTCCGTATGGATTTGTCTGTTTCTGCATGGGTCAGGTTGTGTCTTTATGGGTCAGTGTGGGTCTGTCTGTGTCTGTATGGGTCTGTGTGGATCTGTGTGTGTCTCTATGGATCTGTCTGAGTCTGTATGGTCAGTGTGTGTCTGTATGGGTCAGTGTGTGTGTCTGCATGGGTCAGTTTGTGTGCCTGTATGTGTGCATCTGCATGGGTCAGCATGTGTGTTGGTATGGGTCAGTGTGCATACGTCAGTCTGCATGGATCAGTGTGTATGAATCTATCTGCATGGGTCAGTGCGTGTGTCAGTCTGCGTGGGAGGGTGTGAGTCAGTCTGCTTGGGTCAGTGTGTGTCAGTCTGCATGAATCAGTGTGTGTCTACTAATGTCAGCGTATGTCAATCTGCATGAGTGGATGGAGCGAATGGAGTGGCAAATTTTTTACTAGGGCGGCAAAAATCCTTGCACCGGCCCTGTTTAGATGACCCATGGCAGAACCCCCACTTTCCCATCAGTCCGTCAAAGATCAGGCGTCAAGGAGAACTTGGCCTTGGCATGGGATTGGCATTGGACTTACTTTTACTTTGTTGCTTTATTTTTTTATCTCTGGGGGAGGGGGAACCATGCCAGTAAGAGGTAATGTAATCAAAAGCAGTGTTTTATTAATATATTTTTTGTTGGTTGCAGTAATTCTTTAAGGGATATTTATTTTCGTGTTATAGTTACATTTTGCTATGTCATGAAAGTGCAAATATAGATTTGTTAAAATAGTTGATACAATCCTTACCAGGAATCTTCTTCTTGTTTTTCTCTTCAATATTTTTCTGTTTTTTTCCTGACAATCTCCTTGAAGATGATTTGCTTCTGCGATGTGAAGACGATGACTGTGATGAACTTGAGAACTCACTCTCTACAGTTTCTGAAAATTGAAAAGGAGCACACACTATTAGACAGTAGTTTTATTTATGGAAATTAAAGGGACACTGTAGTGTTTATATTACAGGCTAGTGATAACTCCACTGGCCACTCCTCAGATGGTTGCTAGAGGTGCTGTACTGCCATCCAGTGTCTCCATTCTTTGCATGGAGACACTGAATTTTCCTCACAGAGATGCATTGATTCAATGCATCTCTAAGAGGAGATGCTGATTGACCATTGTTGTGTTTAACTTGTGCTGGCTCTGCCCTTGATCTGCCCCCTTGACAGTCTCAAGGGGAGGCCAGGAGGGCTAGATGGTGTTTTTAACACTATAGGGTCAGGAACACATGTTTGCGTTCCTGACCCTATAGTGTTCCTTTAAAGTGGACAGAAAGATGGACAATTAAAGTACGGATTTAAAATAATTATAGGAAGACTCCAAGCACCATAACCACAAAAGCACATTCCCCGGCGTCCCCCTTTGTAATGAATCAAATTGTTTGAGAATGGTTTGACTTCTTACCTGGGATTCACTGGGCTCTACCCCCTGCCACAATACTTCCTGTGGAGAGTTGGAAGCTCTCTATCTGAAGTAATCCTTAGCTTAGTTCACTGCCTTAGAATGGTCAGCTGACACTTCAGCCAACAAGCTAACCCTGCACTTTACTTACTTTGCTGTCCCTGCACAGCATATGACGTCATCCTGGCATCCGCATCATTACAGAGCATGCGAGGGACCTGTGCAGGAAGAGCACAGAGATCCCTGCAGGCAACAAAGGCTGACCACCAGGGAGAGGATCCACTCCAGCCCTCCCAGAACAAGGTAGAAAGGCTGGGTGATCTTAATTACTAAATGATTGTGTGTATCTCTGTGGTTAAGTGTGTGTGTGTTGTGGTTCTGTGTGTTGAGATCTGTGATTGTATGTGTGTGTGGGGGTCTGTGATTGTGTGAGGGGTGTCTGTGATTGTATGTGTGTGTGTTTGTCTGTGATTGTGTGTGTGTGTGTGGGGGGGGGTCTCTGATTGTGTGTGTGTATGTCTGTTTGTGTCTATAAATATGTGGATGTATGTCTCTGATTGTGTGTGTGTGGGGGGGGTCTCTGATTGTGTGTGTGTGTGTGTCTATAAATATGTGGATGTATGTCTCTGATTGTGTGTGTGGGGTCTCTGATTGTGTGTGTGTATGTATGTGTGTGTCTATAAATATGTGGATGTATGTCTCTGATTGTGTGTGTGTATTTATATATGCACGCACAACCACAGATATACACAAAGACATACGTTTCTGTGTATGTATATAAATGTGTATGTGTTTAGTACATAGCTCCCTAATTTAGTATCCTTAAATATGGCAATCTCACATAAGGATAACAAATAAGGGAGTTATCTACCAAACAACTGAAATATCAAAATTAAGAAAACCGCCTTTCTTAATTTTGACTTCCAGCTGTTGTAGATAGCTTCCTAAATTGGTACCTTTATGTGGGATTGCCATATTTTAGGATACCAAATTAGGCTACTGTTTAGCAGATTGTACCCTTATTTGGTGTCCTTAAATATGTCAATCCCACATAAGGATAACAAATAAGGGAGATATCTACTAATCGACTGAAAGATTCAAATATTAATGTTTAGTAGATAATTCCTCAAATGGGTGCCCTTATGTGAGAGTTTCATATTTAAAGATACCAAATTAGGGTGCTGTTTAGCAGATAGCACCTTAAAAATGGCAATTCCGCATAAGGATAGCAACTAGGGGAGTTATCTGCTAAAAGAAGATTGATGTTAAGAGGTGTCAGCCAGCCCAGAACAAGAAATCTGGGTGGCAATGTGAATTATATGCCAATGTGACCCCTGCTCCATGGCACCCTGTGCGGCCTGGACCAGAGTCATGGCATACCCCTACCTGGTGGCACCTGGGGCAGACTGCCCTGACCCTAAACCGTAATACCCCTCAGTACGCCAGATACTGAGATGTGGACTTATCTTTTATATGTGGACTTACTTATATATCATTAATTGTAGCATGAACAGTAAGAAACATTTTTATTTTTGAGTCAGAAAGCTAAAAATAATATTTAATCTACTCATTACCTTGTCTTTCTTCTTCAGAATCAGTCTTCTTTTTCTTTTTGATTACATCTTTTGGTGACGACTTATTTTTGGGATTCTTGTCTTTTCCAGGATTTACTAGATCTATATTAGATAATGAAGAAGAGTTTTTATTCTTTTTTTTCTTTATTGTAAATTAATCACAGTATTTCCATTTGAGTTTATTTCTAGCTATATTTTTAAATGTCTAAAAATTTTGAACTGTCCTTTGGCACTCAGTAATAACTTCAATGAATATATTAAATATTTTATATATATAATATATATTATTACTTAAAGTTATTTATTCAATTTAGCATAAGAATATCTTTAAAGTATTTCATTCAGTACATTCAGGGTTATTCACTAAACACATTTTTTTTTAGCAATTTTGCCATTAAGATTTAATCTAAATTCAATGTTTAGTGAACAACCCTGACTACATCTATATTTACTGAATTGTGTTGAAAGAAAAGAGATAATATCGGTATCTTTTAGCCAAAATAATCAAGTTCTCAAAATCCACCATTATTTTTCCAACTTGACTTGGACATTTTTTAGTTGTGTGGACAAAAAATAAAAATTGTAGGGATTGTAATCCACAGCAGGACGAATGCCAATAGTTTCTATTCCTTGCAGGGATCTCAAACACTATACTCGTGCACAAATTTGCTGTGGTCAGTTTGCCCGAACCAAATTTCATTTAACCCACGTCCGATCATCCAAAATTTACCTGTAGAGTCTAGTTGATTGATTAGTTTGCATGTAGATTAAAAGGAATTTGATTTGGACAAACTTCGTGAAATGAATTTTTGCACAGGTCTATCAGATGCCATACCAAACCTCTAACACAATAGTTACGTTATAAAATACTTTTAAAAACACAACTCATTTTAAGGCAAAATCGGCCTGAAAATTAAAGACGTTCTAATTAGTGCTGCAGCACCTTAACCCCTTAAGGACACATGACATGTGTGACATGTCATGATTCCCTTTTATTCCAGAAGTTTGGTCCTTAAGGGGTTAAACCATGAAGACATTTCTATTACTATGTTATAAGTCTGGCCATACATCTATTAATATTATTTGCATAGCTCCAACATATTAAGTAGCACTTTATTATGGTAATAGAGTCTAAAAAAACATGAAATAAACATCCAAATCAAAGCAAGCAAGAGCTGGTTCGCTTACAATCTAGAAAAAGCAAGGTATAAAGAATGTAGGAAGAAGAACAAAGTGCAAGATAAAGTCAGATTGTTAGATAACATCTACACCTAATTAAATCAATGTAAGCAATAGGTTAGATATAAACTTTGTAAATGTGATGTCTATATCCTGCCTTTCTCTATGAAACTATAGCTCCCATTTTATTGTGTGTTGGTAAATAAATACGAGGTACATACACTTTAACCACTTATCAAACAACCATAAAATGAATATCGTGAATAGATTCCGCAAGACATCTAAAGATGCTGTCGTCTTATAGGAAAAGTAGAATGCTGTAGCAATTCATAATATGCAATATAAAAACAAGTGTGTTTTATATCACATATTATTTTACCTTCGGTATCTTCATCTGAATATATAATTTTTTTTCTTTTCTTGGTTGGGATTTTGGAGACTGGTTTCTTTGGTCGCTTCTTCCCTTTACTATGAAATTTGGGATCCCGAGAAGGATCTGTTAAAATAAGTACATGGCTTGTGTATATTTTAAATATCAATGGGATGTAGTGAACTTATTTATCTATTCTGTGTTCAATTACCATATCTGTGTAATGTAAGGCTGGCCCTTGCTTCCTGAGGGCATTTTCCTACTTACAAGAGTTGGCCCCCATCTTATAACAGGAAACAAAGCATTCTAGTTTTAAAATACACTGAAAACAAGTCGCCTACTATGTTGCCTCAAGGACTACTGGGAAGTCTCCATAATGTGCCTCAGGTAATTTGACCTGTTGTAGCAATGTATATCATGTTAACTGGCATGCAGCCAAGGGAAAAGTTTAAGTCTGGTGCCTTTATATTTGAAAAAGGCAACGTATATATCACATATACTGTACGTAAATAATGTGTATGGTAATGAATTTAAAAATAAAATTGGATATAAAATTAATTTACCATCTGGATCTATCGGTTTATTTGGCTTCTTGTTTCCATTTCCAGGGGAGCGTTTTTTTGTATTCTTTGTAGAGGAGGAGGATATATTATCAAGAGAATCTAATAGAAAGGAAATGTTAATTATTAATCTTAAATTAAAAAATATTGCTCAATTATTTTTATTTATAACCTTTTCAAAGTTGCCATTGCACAGCGTAGCATGCAATGTAAATCTCATGGTATCCCATGCGCAGCTAAAGCATGGACATGACATCATTTTGGGTAAATATGGCACTTATAAGGTGAGTGAAAATTTAAAGGTTATCATGTCATAGGTGGCTGTCCCTCATAAAAAGCACATAAGAACATACACGTTATTAAATACAAACAATATGCATGTAAAAATATATTTAATAATCATATTAACATGCACATACTGGTAATATTTAATACTCTCACTTCTGTAATCCTAAAAATGTATGCATCTGTCCGATGAAAATATAATGCTGCCTTTATTCCTAACATACACCCCCTAGCCAACATATTGTACCAATAACGAATGACTGGCTTGGCCCACTGGCATGTAATCAGTGACTGCAATATTTGGGGACAACCATTCAGCCAGGCTATGATGACCATGTACAATGTGCCTAGTGGTATCTGCAAATGGAAGATATTAATCACACACACTAGTCATCAAAGGTGGTAATGGAGTCACAGGTAACAGAGTAGTCTATGCATGTTATTTCGTGCTGTACTGATGAAGGTAGTAAGGATATGTGATGTCATACCTTGCAACTCCAGAAGCCTCCAATTGTTTTATGTACAAAAAAATGCCACTTATTTATATTTGCCTCCACTCCAAAAGTTGCCACCCCTCACTTAACTGCATCTGATCTAAGCTAACATTCTCGTTCATTCCACAGAAGTTCCGTACCATCCTGTGTGGTAACTTCTTCCTCTTCTTCTAGTTTCAGTTTTCGTAGTCTATTGTCTTCATCAGGAGATGGTGTTGCAGATGAAGGGGATTTTCCCTTTGTGGGCTCTATCAATAAATACATGATAATTGCATTAAAGATAAAGAATAGACTAGTATGCTTAAATTGGAGAAATTATTCACCATTCATCTTGGGTCAGAGGATAGGTTCACTGTTCTAACGAAATAACCTTTGGGTAAAAACTGGTATTCACAGAAAAGCTATTCTTACACCTATATACGTAGTAGAGTCAAATATTGTGTTTGACCCATTTCCTCCAAGAAACGTGTATACATGGGCTGACTATTTTTGTGTTTTAAAGCTATGCAATATAAAGGTTCAAGAAGAGCTTTCTGCCCAAGTAAGTTACCACAATACTCTGTGATACCCCTGTCAGCTCAAGCAAAGGCAGCAAAATCTCCAGCTCTTTGTGAAATAGAAAGTATATGAATGGAGCATCATTATCAACATTACAATAAAGTGAATTCATATATTTTATTTTTGTAGGTTTTTTAAAAGCTATGAGTAGTATAACCCAAATATTGATATGGGCTGAAAATAAAAATAACTTAAAGAAAAAAATATTGGGTAGATTATCAATCCCAAATTTGGTGAAAATTATTCAAATCTATACCTGGTAAAGAATATCATTCTCTACATTGTGAGTATTCTTTTTTCTTTTGCAAGCAACACTTTATTATTTTCACTCTATTGGGTCTGTTAACTAATCACCAAATTGTGGTGGGTCATTTTGCAAAATCTAAGTAAGCTTTCAGAGTAGGAGCTATTTTCCAAGCTAGTTCTAAACTCAGTACAACTTACTGTTTACTTTCTTGAATGCTAAGCAGACTTGGTGGCACACGTTTTTTGTGCCCCCTCAGCAAGAATAGATGTACCGTTTTACTCTAATTTGGAACCAACCCCGACAATTAGCTAAGTATTTTGTTTGCTTAATTTGGTTGTTGATTATTATTGGTTTAATTTCAACATGCGAAAAAGATGACAAATGTTTTAGGGTTCCATCTTGATCTACTGTGTCATAAGTATCATCTTTTCCTTTTGGCTTTTTGGGCTTGCTGTTTTTCTCATTGGGAGATTATAGCATTAGAGTCCCTTTACTTGTTTCTGTAACAGTAAGAATATTATTGTAAACCGCATCCCATTATTGCATCAAGAGGTTACTGAGAAGCTAAATGTGTTAAAGGTAACATGGAAAGCAATATCCATCCATATCAACTCTTCATTGCTAGAAAACTAAACATGCAAACTGTTTTACAACATTTAGGTTTCCTTGGCAGTATCATCTACCAAGATAGTCATATGAAGACACTGGGACACTGCCAATGTAGTGTGACAGATATATCATTAGATATGTACACATACCAAATCCATTCACATTAGTTACTGAAATTGTCATTGGTTTGGGATAGACAGCCTTTAGTAAATCTACCCTAAATCTTGTTAGTCTTCATTTTTTTAAAATCATTTCCTGCATCAGCACTAATTTGAACCCTAACCTTTTGGTTTGCCGTCTGGGTCAGTGTTATCACCGGGTTCCTTTTCTTTTGGATTCTTGGGTTTGCCATCTTCACTGTCTGGAGTGCCTTTCTGATTTGGCTCTGTAACATTGAAAGCATTCTTATTTAACGGGGATAAAACAGTATTGTGACGAGACCAATCTCGCCACATTGCATTGGAGAAGCCTGGTTGCTCGCCTGCTGCCTTTGGACTATGGCCCCATGTTAAAAGACATCTTTTTTTTCCTGCAGAAAATACTTATTCGTGCTTTTCTGCCTGGTGTTTGGTAGATTCAATCTACCGAACAACCGCACGAATGGCTAGACCACCTGGGAGTTGGAGTGTCCCGGCAATTAGCCTCCCAGAAGCTGCGGTTAACCGCAGCTTAATTGATGAATGCTGGGTGGCCGCCATTCGTATCACGAACACGAGGTCGCGGCCATTTTAAACCTGCGAACGCACAGCGGTGTTCGACGCTCAATTCATGGAACTAAAATCGGACACAGTTTTGCGCGAACACCGCTGAAGCCGCCAACCTCCCCTTTTTGTTCGGTGAAAGTGCACGAACGGCCCGGTGTTCGGTAGTTTTACTTGATTATGTTATACCCCAGATAGGAATCCCATGGAGCCCATTCGCATGAGAACTGACTGTGTAAAGACTTTGGCTCCATGGCGATTAAACTGTATTCATGTGGTCTGAGCGCCATTCGCTTAATAATGTGCGCTCAGACCTGAGCTATCTGGGGACATGTTAAATGTATAGTTTTATTGTAACCTATGTGATACTGTGTATTTTAATAGTAATTCATGTTTTAGTATCCCCACGTGCATAATGGCGATTTGCCTTTGTCTTGGGAGATAATTGAATTACTTCTCAATTATCTCCAGGGCAGAGGGGAGGAAGCCAGGATGCATTGTGGGAATATAATGTGACTGTGTGTCCTATTTGTCTACTTGTCTGTCTTTTGTCACAGTCTCCCATTTGGTCCCCTAGGGGAGTGTCCACCAGGTGGGAGACCTGCATAAATACTGGGCAGGTAGCCCTCATTAAACAGACCACTGCTTGACCCTCAACACGGAGCCTTGTCTCGTCTTTGGGGGGATTTACTGAATGCTGATAGAGACTGATTGCTAGGAGTGTAAGCCGCTTGGATGCTTTTCCTATTCGTCTGCTAGCAGCGATTCGTATGGTTCCAGTTCGTGTGTTTGGAGTGCTATATTGTATGCCGTTCGGGAGTTTGGAGCATTCCCTTATTGGCGGTTCGTGAGTTTGGTGTTCAACAGTAGCTGTGCCTGCATCTCTGGAAAGGGGGACGATCGCCTAAGAGGTTTTTACCCCTCGTGTGCAAAACGGTCCGTTACAAGTATAAATAAAGCTTACTATCTGTTCTTGAAAACACTTTCAAACAAGATGTTCGAGTGCAGATGTTTTTCAGGCACACAATTAGCAATAGGAATAAATAGTCCCATGTATGTTAGCTCATCTGATTAAATGCCTCTCAAATGTGTTATTCAATACAAACCGAATTGTCTATCATAATTTCTATTTTGAAAGAACAGTCACCTTTTCTGCATTTGTGAACAATTCCTTCTTCCTCACCACAGTAGATACTATTGAAGCATTTACTGGGGAGAAGAATGCAATAGAGTTTAATTCGAAATAAACTCTTTTCTGCTGGAGGTTCAGGAGCTTAGCAACAACACTTTCATGAAATACCCTATGTGTCAATGCAATCTGGACATTATTTGCTTATCCAGTATCATTCACATTATTTTTCACACAATTGTTTATAATTAATTCACATTTGTTTAGAATAACAATACACAAACCTAACCTTTTGGTATTCCATCAGGCCCTTCTGGTTCATCCTCACCCTTTTCCTTTGGGGTTTTAGGTTTCTTAGGGTTACCTGCCTTGTCTCCTGGATTTATTGGATTAGGATCTGTAATATAAAAAGGTGAATTTCCATATAGAGATAATTGGCAAACAGTTGATAGTACATTGAGTAGATAATCCTTATTTCATTGCCTCCTTACCTGTTCCACAATTAGTCAATATCAATGCCACTCGTATGCACCTGTGCTGATTTAAACCACCCTCTTCCCCAAGTTCATATATCTTCTCCCTCTGTCCCTTCTCCCATATTCCACTGCCTAAACATATACATATGAACCACCTACTTGCATGGCCTTCTGTCTTCTCCATGCTCATCTTATGTCAAGGCAGAGTTTCAGTTGGGTTATATATAGCTATATGAGTATACCTGTGGCCAGGTGGGGTGTATCTATGTGGGTAATGAACCTTCAGTGAAGGTAAACTGGAGCCAGTTGTGCCCAGGATAAGTTATATGTAGAATGAGTGACTGTGACAAAGAGAGAGGCATTGGTATTTTCTGAATTCCATGTCATCTGTTGTCTCCATTCTGACTATTTATTTTTCTTGTCAGCTCGGTTCCACCATACTACTGATTTTGATTTGATTGAGTTCAGAACTCTCTCAGCTTTAATGTCACTTTAAATAAGCAGCTATTATACATATATGGGAATGAGCTCTTATAGATGGATTCCATTCAATTTGACTTTATGCCCAGAGCAATTCTTGCCTCACCTTTTGGCGTACCATTAGGATCTGGTGAATCATCTCCTTTTCTTTCTTTTGGGTCTTTAGGTGTCTCAGGCTTACTTTCTTCATCATCAGAACCTCTTGGATTTGGACCTATTATTTAAAAAAATATTTTTACATAGAGATGCTGATGCAGGTTTTCATACACTTGCTCACAATTCTTTCTTTTATTATAATAATTTAAAAGACTAACCTTTAGGTGTTCCATCTGTGTCCTCTCCATCCTTGCTGTCTGGGGTTTTAGGTTTGTCATCTTTGTCATCAGGTAGCCCCTGTTTTGGTTCTGTTATTTTAAAAACACAATTTTCACATATTAAGAGGACACATGCACAAATATATATATATATATATAGTTACTATGACCGTAAGAGGATCACAATTAATTAAATTGAGAACTACAGTGATAAATTTGGTCTAAAACAAGTTGTCGTATAACTGAAAATATTAAAATTTCCATGTCAATTCTCCACCATTGCTGGTTTATGAACATGTTCCAATCCACAATAAAAGGAAATATAAACATATCCCTTTACATTTTTTTTTTCCATATGCCAATTTTAATATTTTTTCATGAGATGCATATAACATAGGGCAGTGAACATTAGCAGTTTGAATTGTACACGCAACTTTAAGTACGCCAAGATCAAGTTTGAAGAGATCTCTGTTATTTGTCTATTATACATCCTTGTGAAAATTGCTGTACATACATCGTGGCAGTCGAAAAGGGAATGGTACATTAAGTCAGTCACATACATGTGCAAATCCTGAAAGAGAAAGTAGGGGGGATGAGAAATGGAGGGAAAACAGATAGAAAAAAAGTAAAACGAAGTCATGGGTGGCTAGAAGGTCTGTAAAATAAAGGCTTCTAACATTAATATCACCTATATTTCCACTTTCGGTATCAAACTGTACCCCTCCGTTTTATAACATTCTGCTATGACCTAGATGGTTACTTCCACCTCCCCTGATTTTGTGTGCCTTAATCTGTTTAAGCGATCTAGCACTTTCCTAGAATTGTCTGATCCCTGCCTCCCTGTCACAAACCCCAACTAATCATTATTAATGAGGTGAGATGTAATCTGGCTTAACCTGGCTGTATAGACTTTTGCCAAAATTTTAGCATCCAAATTCCATAATAGTTGGAAGTTTGGACATTGCGTTGGGGTCTCCAGGTTTTGGAGTGCCACAACAGGTGGGCGTTCCCTTTTGACAAAGATTTAATATTTGTTTTCCACTTCTGCCATGGTTATTGGTTCCGCTAAAATATTTGCTTGAACGTTGGACAAAGATATTAAGTCTAATGAATCTAAATACTCTTTGATACCTGCAACATTAGGTTGGTGGGAAGTAGAGTCATCTTTTAAATTGTGCAATATGGCATAAAAAGTTGCAAATTCATTCCATATATTTTTGAAGATCATTACTTTCTTGCCTGAGATGCTGTAGCTCAGTTTAACTTGGGCAGGATGATGTCAACGGCAGTCCCCAGGAAAGCAGCAATTCACTTCCTCCTTCCTGAGAGGCTACTGTAGCTGTGCTGCCATTCTGCTGATTGATCAATTATACAGGAAAGCTCCATCTGCAAGGAATGTGGTGGTGCCTCACAGAGTGTCAGGATTCCTCCCTATTCTCTCGGAATTCCTCCATGTTTGATTTCAGCCAGATCAGCACTACCCGTATGACTTCCAAGTTCTCAGATCTATCTCAGCCCATGCATCTGACATCACGTGCTTTCCTTCAAAAGGAAGCTGCGACTGTGTCCAAATGGCTCAACCAATGTTTTCCTGTGTTTGATACTCTCATGTACTTGCTACCTTGTTGCCTATTTATCGACGGAGCTTCTAATTGATTTCCTGTATACCCAACCTCTTGGCTTGATCCTGACTATGCTCTACTCTCGACTCCCTGACTTGGAACAAGACTTCACATCTGATTCCTGCCTTTTGCCACATACCTCAAGGAACCATAATCCACTCTATCCTGGAAGGACTCTCATACTCATCACTCAATGCAAGATAAGTTCTCCACTTATTGGGATTAACAATAGGTTCTTTACTGAAGTTATAAGGAATTACTAAATCTGCTTCTGGGATAACATTTGCATATTCTAATTGAAAGTCTCATAAACCAATTACTCACTCTTCAATTGTTTTATTAATTATTATTTGGAGTCTAAAGGACTATAACCACTGTGCAAACAGGATCTAACTAATTACCAGATTTTGTTGTCTTTTTTCAAAAGGACTGTATTATTTCATACAACAGGAATCAACTCACCCGCACTGTCAAACGTTATATTGAAGTCTATGGACTGTATTGCTAATTAAGCATTTCCTTATTATATATATATATGCTATATTCTTGTGATGCAATTTTGAAAGAAGATTACAAACATTCATGCATTATTTCAAAACCTTATTGCTGCAGAAGTCTGCCAAAGTTAAATTTCTTTATTTAAATAAATTATATTTTCTTAACGTGACAGCTTCAAATTTATTTGTTCACCTGCAGTTGAGTTCCAAATAAAATTTTCACCAAGAAGTATTACACAGAGTCTGTGGTTTCTTTAAGCATTCTCCTCTTGCGCAGGGGTGGGTGCTGATTAATCAGCATAAAGTTGTGTGCCTTGATATTCCGTCAGCAGATTCTTTGTATTTTTGCCTGATCGTATTATAACTTGTTCAACTCTAGGGATCGATGCTGGAAGGGGTCTGCGTTTTGGAACCCTGTATCTGGTCTCCCAGGAGCTTATCTGTGGCAATGTACACTGCCTAAGTTTGAATGAAAGCTTGCACGCAAGACCGCATTTCAGCCTAGAGGACTGTCTCAGGTATATACTTCAGTCTAACATTGTTGCTTCTGTCTTCCATATCCGCAATCTTTATTTCATAATGTTCCATTTGGTCTTCTAGTTATTGCAGTTTGTCTGCTAGCCTGTCATGGGCTACTGCAAATTCAGCCAATTTAGAGTATTCAGGAGATGTTCATGCACCTAGGTCTTGAATATCTTTCTTAATCTCACTAACCGCTGTTGTCAGATAGCACATCCGGGAGAGAAAGATAAGCCATCATTTGTGTGCGGGCTTTGAGGAGATTCCTGTTCTTCCTCACTGCTATCTTGGCTAGGCTTGGCATGTGTTTAACAGTAAAATAAAAATAGGTTGTGCTGAAAAACCGTTAAAATTGAGTAAATTACCAACTGATGGAAGATAATAAAATACAGTATTGAGAAAATTAAAATGGTAAAATACAAGTTTACTCCATTTTCTTATTTGCTGTACATCAAAGTTTAGACTTTTTACTAATTTTAAAATATTGGACTCTTTTTATTGTTTGTTTTGTAACTTGTATTTTTCAATTTCTATAATTTCAATATTGTATTTTATCTTTCATTAGTTGGTCATTTACTCCATTTTAATGTTTTTTTCGGCACAACCTATTTTTATCTTACTGTTTTTTTTCTTCTTTCTGGAGTTTGTGAGGGAGCCCCATACATTAGGTTTGCTGTCCATTTTTTAAAGCAAATATATTCACTGATTGGTCACTCAGCACTGATCCACTTGTCCTTTTTGGCATGTGTTTATCTCTGGGAGCCTTGGGCCGTAAAGCAATTTGCCTTTCAGATCTTCCTCATTTTATTGTGTGCCATCTCCAGCAGATTGTGCTATTTTTGCGATGTCTCGTCAAGGTTTAGCCGTTGTTTAAAGCTGGGTGATAGTTGATCTTCACTTTTGTGTGTCCTTTCAGCTCAAGGAGCAGGACACATCCCCTGAGATTGTTTGCATTTTTATATTTTAATTCAATTTTGTAAATATTTAAATTATAAAGTCCTTACCTTTTGGGTTTCTGTCTGGGTCATCATCTTCATCCCCGTCTTTTGGAGTTTTAGGTTTCTTTGGTTTGTCTTCTTTGCCATCAGGTTGATTTGGTTCTGTGATTATAAAATAGTTATTTTAATATATAAATGGGTATTAATTTAGATAAGGACATATATATATATATATATATATATATATATATATATATATATATATATGAAATGTTATGTTTGTGTAGTTTCCATCAATTGAAAACCAAACTAAAACATTTAAGCTAAGACAACCAAGCTGTTGCATAACTGAGAAGCTTCAAGGCCCCCTTGTCAATTCTTCACTATTGATAGTTTAGCGAATACATTCCAAACAATCAACATTGTGTGATTTCAACAGATATAAACTTATCTTTTTAAAATTATGATATTACCATTTTGTAATTATTTCAAAAGAGAGTGTTCTCTTTTTATATTTTAATATTTTTTTCCGTATATTTAGATCATACTACTATATTATATTACGTCCTAACCTTTTGGGTTTCTGTCTGGGTCATCATCTTCATCCCCGTCTTTTGGAGTTTTAGGTTTTGGTTTGTCTTCTTTGCCATCAGGTTGATTTGGTTGATTTGTGTCCTCTCCATCCTTGCTGTCTGGGGTTTTAGGTTTGTCATCTTTGTCATCAGGTAGCCCCTGTTTTGGTTCTGTTATTTTAAAAACACAATTTTCACATATTAAGAGGACACATGCACAAATATATATATATATATATATATATATATATATATATATATATAGTTACTATGACCGTAAGAGGATCACAATTAATTAAATTGAGAACTACAGTGATAAATTTGGTCTAAAACAAGTTGTCGTATAACTGAAAATATTAAAATTTCCATGTCAATTCTCCACCATTGCTGGTTTATGAACATGTTCCAATCCACAATAAAAGGAAATATAAACATATCCCTTTACATTTTTTTTTTCCATATGCCAATTTTAATATTTTTTCATGAGATGCATATAACATAGGGCAGTGAACATTAGCAGTTTGAATTGTACACGCAACTTTAAGTACGCCAAGATCAAGTTCGAAGAGATCTCTGTTATTTGTCTATTATACATCCTTGTGTAAATTGCTGTACATACATCGTGGCAGTCGAAAAGGGAATGGTACATTAAGTCAGTCACATACATGTGCAAATCCTGATAAAAGTTATAACAAAACCAAGGGAAGAAGGAAAGAGAAAGTAGGGGGGATGAGAAATGGAGGGAAAACAGATAGAAAAAAAGTAAAACGAAGTCATGGGTGGCTAGAAGGTCTGTAAAATAAAGGCTTCTAACATTAATATCACCTATATTTCCACTTTCGGTATCAAACTGTACCCCTCCGTTTTATAACATTCTGCTATGACCTAGATGGTTACTTCCACCTCCCCTGATTTTGTGTGCCTTAATCTGTTTAAGCGATCTAGCACTTTCCTAGAATTGTCTGATCCCTGCCTCCCTGTCACAAACCCCAACTAATCATTATTAATGAGGTGAGATGTAATCTGGCTTAGCCTGGCTGTATAGACTTTTGCCAAAATTTTAGCATCTAAATTCCATAATAGTTGGAAGTTTGGACATTGCGTTGGGGTCTCCAGGTTTTGGAGTGCCACAACAGGTGGGCGTTCCCTTTTGACAAAGATTTAATATTTGTTTTCCACTTCTGCCGTGGTTATTGGTTCTGCTAAAATATTTGCTTGAACGTGGGACAAAGATATTAAGTCTAATGAATCTAAATACTCTTTGATACCTGCAGTATTAGGTTGGTGGGAAGTAGAGTCATCTTTTAAATTGTGCAATATGGCATAAAAAGTTGCAAATTCATTCCATATATTTTTGAAGATCATCACTTTCTTGCCTGAGATGCTGTAGCTCAGTTTAACTTGGGCAGGATGATGTCAACGGCAGTCCCCAGGAAATTAGCAATTCACTTCCTCCTTCCTGAGAGGCTACTGTAGCTGTGCTGCCATTCTGCTGATTGATCAAGTATACAGGAAAGCTCCATCTGCAAGGAATGTGGTGGTGCCTCACAGAGTGTCAGGATTCCTCCCTATTCTCTCAGAATTCCTCGATGTTTGATTTCAGCCAGATCAGCACTACCCGTATGACTTCCGGGTTCACCGATCTATCTCAGCCCATGCGTCTGATATCACGCGCTTTCCTTCAAAAGGAAGCTGCGACTGTGTCCAAATGGCTCAACCAATGTTTTCCTGTGTTTGATACTCTCACGTACTTGCTACCTTGTTGCTATTTATCGACGGAGCTTCTAATTGATTTCCTGTGTACCCAGCCTCTTGGCTTGATCCTGACTATGCTCTACTCTCGACTCCCTGACTTGGAACAAGACTTCACATCTGATTCCTGCCTTTCGCCACATACCTCAAGGAACCATAATCCACTCTATCCTGGAAGGACTCTCATACTCATCACTCAATGCAAGATAAGTTCTCCACTTATTGGGATTAACAATAGGTTCTTTACTGAAGTTATTTGGGAAGGATAAGGAATTACTAAATCTGCTTCTGGGATAACATTTGCATATTCTAATTGAAAGTCTCATAAACCAATTACTCACTCTTCAATTGTTTTATTCATTATTATTTGGAGTCTAAAGGACTATAACCACTGTGCAAACAGGATCTAACTAATTACCAGATTTTGTTGTCTTTTTTCAAAAGGACTGTATTATTTCATACAACAGGAATCAACTCACCCGCACTGTCAAACGTTATATTGAAGTCTATGGACTGTATTGCTAATTAAGCATTTCCTTATTATATATATATATGCTATATTCTTGTGATGCAATTTTGAAAGAAGATTACAAACATTCATGCATTATTTCAAAACCTTATTGCTGCAGAAGTCTGCCAAAGTTAAATTTCTTTATTTAAATAAATTATAATTTCTTAATGTGACAGCTTCAAATTTATTTGTTCACCTGCAGTTGAGTTCCAAATAAAATTTTCACCAAGAAGTATTACACAGAGTCTGTGGTTTCTTTAAGCATTCTCCACTTGCGCAGGGGTGGGTGCTGATTAATCAGCATAAAGTTGTATGCCTTGATATTCCGTCAGCAGATTCTTTGTATTTTTGCCTGATCGTATTATAACTTGTTCAACTCTAGGGATCGATGCTGGAAGGGGTCTGCGTTTTGGAACCCTGTATCTGGTCTCACAGGAGCTTATCTGTGGCAATGTACACTGCCTAATCTTGAATGAAACCTTGCACGTAAGACCGCATTTCAGCCTGGAGGACTGTCTCAGGTATATACTTCAGTCTAACATTGTTGCTTCTGTCTTCCATATCCGCAATCTTTATTTTATAATGTTCCATTTGGTCTTCTAGTTATTGCAGTTTGTCTGCTAGCCTGTCATGGGCTACTGCAAATTCAGCCAATTTAGAGTATTCAGGAGATGTTCATGCACCTAGGTCTTGAATATCTTTCTTTTTTTTTTACAACTTGAAGTTTATTCGTGTTTTGGTTTAGTCAATTACATATCACAAAACAGTATGGGTGGGGTAATGGGATACAAAAGATAAAGGGAGGGGTGCAGGGTACAAGTTGCAGGTTACAGCGGTTGGTTTGTTAACTTTATTACACATTTTACACTTTTTGATGCGTCACATAGTTCTACCCTTGTTTTGGTCTGTTTTAGTTTCGGGTACTAGAGTCCTTTTGGGTGAAGGTATTTTGTTGCGTACCTGGCCAGATTACTAATTGTCTCGTTTCCCGGTGGTGTTTGTGCCTTGTTATTAGGTTGCGGTTATTCTTTTTTTTTTTTATTATTTTTTTTTCCCTCTCTTCCCCCCTCTCCTGTGATTACATGTTGATGTTCGATACTTCGCTATGTATCCTTTACTGTGTGGTGCGTTCAGCATTCCCTGGCATGGATGATTGGAAGGGGGACGGGGGGGGACGAGGGGGCTGGTGTTATATCTTGTTACTCGTTTGCGGGTTTTTTGCCTTTTTCCCACATCTCGTGGGCTTCCCTTATACACGGGCGGGTTCCGAATTGTGTCGTTGCCATTAACTCATAAGACCAATTAAGGTCCATTTGCCTCATCAACTCGGCTATTGATGGTGTTGTGGTTTGTTTCCATAGCCTGGATATCAGCAAGTTCGCTGATATTAGTGTGTGGTATATAATGATTTTAAGATGTTTTGGGATGTTGGTTGGTAGCATGAATAATAGGCATTCTTGTGGTGTGTCTACCCTTATATTATGCGTTATGTCGTTCAGGAGTGTGGACACCGCTTCCCAAAATGGGCTTATTTTGTCACAGGACCACCAGATGTGAAGCATCGTGCCTACCTCCCCCCCGCACCTCCAGCACTTGTTACTTGTGTGCGGCCATATGGCATGTAGTTTTGCGGGCACTAGGTACCATCGGTACATAATTTTGCGTTGCAGTTCCAAATGCGATGCGCACGCTGTTAGTCCTCTGTGGACCGAGTAGGACCTCTCCCAGATGTCCCTTGGGAATGTCTGACCTATTTCCCTGTGCCAGTCTCTCTTGATCTGTTCTAGTGTATGCGCTTGTGTTAGGGTTAACTTATGGTATCCCCATGACATTGATTTCTTTAGTGGTGCTATTCCTACACATTGTTTTTCAAAAACCGTCATGGTTGCTTCATCTGCTATACCCGGTTGTTTGCTTAGTTTGCCTGTTATATATGATTTAAGTTGCAGGTAGGAAAATGCGATTGTGGTGGGCAGTGTGTATTCCGTTTGTATATCTGGTAGTGTTTTCAGTTTGCCTCTGTCAATGACCTGGTATATGTGGTGTATTCCCCCTCTCTTCCAGGTGTCTTCACGGAATGTAGGTATTTCCATGCCTATTGTTTGTATTGGTGTGGCCAGGGGTAATTTGGGGTTGGACACCAAATTGTTTCTCATTGTGTTCCATACCCTCATCAAGTTCTGTGTGCTGGGTAGCAGGTTTTCTCTTATGTGTTTGGGGCACTTCTGTAGCCATAGTATCGCCCTGAGGTTGTGTTGTGGGGCCCAGTGGGATTCTATTGCTACCCACTGCGGGGCTTGGGCCGGGCGGTTAATTTGGGCTATGTTGTGTAGATAAGCTGCCCTACAGTACGTTGTTAGGTTTGGCAGACCCAGCCCGCCTTTGCTCACTGTTTGGTGTAGTGTTCCTGCTGCTACTCGTACCTTTTTCCCTTCCCAGACGAATGTGCTTAATGAGTGTTGTACGCTTTCGGGACGGGTATTTGTAGTGTTCTAAATAGGTACTGGATTTTAGGTATGAGTGTCATCTTTACCGCTGCTATGCGGCCTGTCCACGAAAGAAATTTACCTCTCCATTTTTGTATGGTGTCTATGATTTCTGTTTGTATGCGCTCGTAGTTTAGTTTAAAAAGGTGTGCTGGGTTTTTGGATAGCTTAAGTCCCAGAAACGTCAAGTAGTCATTTCTCCAGTCCAGCGGGAATGCCGTCTGTAACCTGCCCAATAGGTCCGCGTTAAGTCCTATCCCTAGAGCTTGCGTCTTGGTGATATTCAGCTTGTAGTACGAGACCTCCCCATATTCACGTATTTGTGTCATTAAATTTGGCAGGGATGTGAGGGGGTGTGTGATCGTTACAAGGATGTCGTCTGCAAAAAGGTTGAGTGTATACTCTCTGTCTCCCAGGGTTATACCCTTTATGGACCGGTTTGCTCTTATCGCTGCTGCCAGTGGCTCCAGCGCTAGGATGTACAATAGCGGGGATAGGGGGCAGCCCTGTCGAGAGCCATTGGTTATTGTGATGTGTTTAGATATAAACCCTGCATTGAGTACTCTAGCTGTGGGGTGGGAGTACAATGCCTGTACTGCCCTCAGGAATCCCTGGGGGAACTTGTATTTTTGGAGTACAGCTTGCAGGAAAGACCAGTTTAGACGGTCAAACGCCTTTTCCGCATCCAGGGATAGGAGGACCCCCCCCCCCGGCTACGGAGTAAGCACTGCATTAGGTCCACTACTTTTCTTGTATTGTCCGACCCTTGTCGCCCAGTGGTGAAGCCCACTTGATCGTCATGTATTAATGTGGGGATGATGTGGGTCAGTCTAGTGGCTAGGATTTTAGCATATAGTTTAGTGTCAGTGTTGAGCAATGAAATTGGTCTAAAGTTTTGACTGCAGGTGGGGGTTTTTCCTGGTTTGGGTAGAGTGACTATGTGGGCCCCCAGCATTTCCGCAGGCGCCTCTCCTTTTTGGGTTGCTGCGTTAAACAGGTGTGCCAGGTGTGGCGCTAGTATTCCCGCATATTTCTTATAATATGTGTTCGTAAGACCGTCAGGGCCGGGTGCTTTCCCGGGGGGTAAGCGTGTGATGGCTTGCAGGACTTCCGTTGTGGTGATGGGGACTTGTAGGGATTCTATTTGCTCCTCCGATAGAGAGGGTAGGGTTATGTTGTCCAAGTAGCGCTCTATGTGTCCAGGAGTTGGATGTGTTGTGTTAGGGTCTTGCTTTAGATTGTACAGTGTCGTGTAGTATTCGGCAAAAATGTCGCTTATTTCTTTTGGTGTCACTTTTTTTTCCCCGTGTGAGTTCAGCAGGTATGGGATTTTTGCCTTTATGCTTTGTTGTGTTAGTCGTCTGGCTAAAAGTTTGCTTGCCCTGTTCCCCTGTGTGTATTGTGTTGCTTTGAGTTTCCTAAGGCTAAATCCCATCTTCGCCAGGTCATGTGTCTTGATTTCCTCTAACTTTTCTTGTATTAGTGTTTTTAACAGCGGTGTTGGGGTCAATTGGTTTTGCTTATTAAGGCGGTAGAGGGCTGTCAAGTGTTCCTTTAGTTTTGCTTGTGATTTCTGCTTTAACGCGCTGGTTTTCCCTATGATCAATCCTCTGATTACTGGTTTATGTGCTAGCCATAGGGTTTCAGGGGAGGTGTCTGGGTGTGTGTTCGTCTTAAAGTACTGCTTAATCTCTTCGGCTAATTGCTCGCCGAACTGCTCGTTGTGTAGTATCGATTCGTTGAGCCGCCAGGGCGATATTCATAAGCGTCATGTAGTTCTAAGGTGACAGGGGCGTGGTCTGACCACGTGATGGTGCCTATGGAGCAATCCTTTAGTTGGTTGAGGAATGTGCCTTTTATGTAAAACCCATCTATGCGTGAGTAAGTGTTGTGCGCTTGGGAGAAGAAAGTGAAGTCTCTCTCCTCCGGGTGCAGCACTCTCCATGCATCATACAAATCGTGCGCACTCATCAGTCGTGTTAGAGGTTTGCATTCCCGCGTCAGTGTTGCCGCTCTAGGTGTGTGGGTTGGGACCGACGTGTCCCATCGTGGGTCCAGAATATGATTCATGTCCCCACATATGAAAGTGATTCCCCTTTGTAGGTGTGCTAGCTGTGTGAGCAATTTATGTAAGAAGTTTCTTTGGTTTGTGTTTGGTGCGTATATGTTGATTATCGTGTATTCCGCGTTGTTAATTTCGCAGACCAATATTATGTATCGCCCTTGATTGTCTACGTGTTCATATATCAGCTTAAAGGACACATCCTTACTGATTAGGACTGACACCCCCCTTGTTTTGGACGTATAGGTGCTATGGTACTGCGTGGGGAAGTATGCCTGCGCTATGGTCGTCGTCTGCTTGAGGTGAGTTTCTTGTAGGCATACCACATCTGGGCGTACTCTGCGCAGATCCCGGACTAGGCAGTGTCTTTTGACTGGGATGTTTAACCCTTTTACGTTATGGCAATATATTTTCATGTTTTATGGGGTATATTGCTGTTTGGCAATGCGGACCTATATCTGGCTGGGTTCTCCCTGTATTCCTTCCTACTCTCCCGTTAGCCCTGAGACTGTACTTTTGTGTCGTGTCTTTGCCGCCCCTGGTCCAATCGGCCGACTGGGTTTCCTGCGGTTTCCCCTGCGTGCTTGTGTTCCCTCTTTGCTGCCCATGCTCTTCAGCTTTGTTCAGTACCCTGGGTTTTAGTACCCTACTGGTGGGGGTGGGATGGGTGGGGTGGGTTGGACGGTGATGAACACTAACGTAACAGGTGTTCATAACAAACAAATGAAGCATTACATCAATCAACATATATACAAGAACAATAACAATTATTTGCATTTCCCAATGTAGGGTTGGGTTGAATATCTTTCTTAATCTCACTAACCGCTGTTGTCAGATAGCACATCCGGGAGAGAAAGATAAGCCATCATTTGTGTGCGGGCTTTGAGGAGATTCCTGTTCTTCCTCACTGCTATCTTGGCTAGGCTTGGCATGTGTTTAACAGTAAAATAAAAATAGGTTGTGCTGAAAAACCGTTAAAATTGAGTAAATTACCAACTGATGGAAGATAATAAAATACAGTATTGAGATAATAAAAATGGTAAAATACAAGTTTACTCCATTTTCTTATTTGCTGTACATCAAAGTTTAGACTTTTTACTAATTTTAAAATATTGGACTCTTTTTATTGTTTGTTTTGTAACTTGTATTTTTCAATTTCTATAATTTCAATACTGTATTTTATCTTTCATTAGTTGGTCATTTACTCCATTTTAACGTTTTTTTCGGCACAACCTATTTTTATCTTACTGTTTTTTTCTTCTTTCTGGAGTTTGTGAGGGAGCCCCATACATAAGGTTTGCTGTCCATTTTTTAAAGCAAATATATTCACTGATTGGTCACTCAGCACTGATCCACTTGTCCTTTTTGGCATGTGTTTATCTCTGGGAGCCTTAGGCCGTAAAGCAATTTGCCTTTAAGATCTTCCTCGTTTTATTGTGTGCCATCTCCAGCAGATTGTGCTATTTTTGCGATGTCTCGTCAAGGTTTAGCCGTTGTTTAAAGCTGGGTGATAGTTGATCTTCACTTTTGTGTGTCCTTTCAGCTCAAGGGCAGGACACATCCCCTGAGATTGTTTGCATTTTTATATTTTAATACAATTTTGTAAATATTTAAATTATAAAGTCCTTACCTTTTGGGTTTCTGTCTGGGTCATCATCTTCATCCCCGTCTTTTGGAGTTTTAGGTTTCTTTGGTTTGTCTTCTTTGCCATCAGGTTGATTTGGTTCTGTGATTATAAAATAATTATTTTAATATATCGATGGGTATGAATTCAGATAAGGACATATATATATATATATGAAATGTTATGTTTGTGTAGTTTCCATCAATTGAAAACCAAACTAAAACATTTAAGCTAAGACAACCAAGCTGTTGCATAACTGAGAAGCTTCAAGGCCCCCTTGTCAATTCTTCACTATTGATGGTTTAGCGAATACATTCCAAACAATCAACATTGTGTGATTTCAACAGATATAAACGTATCTTTTTAAAATTATGATATTACCATTTTGTAATCATTTCAAAAGAGTGTTCTCTTTTTATATTTTAATATTTTTTTCTGTATATTTAGATCATACTACTATATTATATTACGTCCTAACCTTTTGGGTTTCTGTCTGGGTCATCATCTTCATCCCCGTCTTTTGGAGTTTTAGGTTTCTTTGGTTTGTCTTCTTTGCCATCAGGTTGATTTGGTTCTGTGATTATAAAATAATTATTTTAATATATCAATGGAGGATATGAATTCAGATAAGGACATTCCATCAGTGTCCTCTCCTTTCTTGTCATCTTGATCTTGGGTTTTAGGTTTCTTATGTCTTCCGTCGTTATCATTAGGTAACCCCTGATTTTGTTCTGTTATTTTTATTTTGTTTTAATTCTTTATTATGTGAAATTTTCAGGTACATAAGGTGTTGAACAGTTCAGTGTAAAAGGTTATTAAAATTAAAATACATTGGTTCTGTTATTTTAAAAACATTATTTTCACATATCGATAGAGGATATATGCACACAAAAAATATACATATATATGTTTCATTTTATTTTTGTTTAGTTTCCATCAATTGACAAACAAGTTGTTCCATAACTGAAAAGTTTCAAGGTCCCTTGTCAATACCCCATCATTGCTGGCTTAGTTTCAAGCAAAATCACAAGTGTGATTTCAACAGATATAAATGTATCTTTTTAGAATCATGCTATTACTATTTTGTGATCATTTCAAAGGAGAGTGTTTTCGTTTTATATTTTAATAATTTTTCTGTATATTTAGATCATACTACTATATTATATTACGTCCTAACCTTTTGGGTTTCTGTCTGGGTCATCATCTTCATCCCCGTCTTTTGGAGTTTTAGGTTTCTTTGGTTTGTCTTCTTTGCCATCAGGTTGATTTGGTTCTGTGATTATAAAATAATTATTTTAATATATCGATGGGTATGAATTCAGATAAGGACATAAATATATAATTCCTAAAGAATACGCCAGGCCTGGAGTGATATAAATGTTAATATAAACATACATTTGATATTAATATACTCAAAATGTTTCTACATCACATTATACGGGTTATTCATTAAACCAGGAATTGTTGGGGAATGAGCAAGGAATTGAAAATATGTTATTTTTGTGTAGTTTCCATCAATTGAAAACCAAACTAAAACATTTAAGCTAAGACAACCAAGCTGTTGCATAACTGAGAAGCTTCAAGGCCCCCTTGTCAATTCTTCACTATTGATGGTTTAGTGAATACATTCCAATCAACATTGCGTGATTTCAACAGATAGAAACTCATCTTTTTAGAATTATGCTATTACCATGTTGTAATCATTTCAAAAGAGAGTGTTCTCTTTTTATATTTTAATATTTTTTTCTGTATATTTAAGATTGCTACATTTATAGATTGCTGCGGGGATGTCTATAGTGAGCATGCGAAATATATACAGCAATCTCGGCAATAGCATCATTTTATATGTATTTACACGTCCCAACCATGAAAGATTTGCAGTTTTCCATTTTAGTGTCTCTGTGATGCATAGCTGTATAAGGGGTTTGTAGTTAAGTTTCACTACATTGTCAATTGAAGTGGCAATTTTAACTCCCAAATACATTATGTATGTCGACCGCCAGTCCAGATCAAAGGCGGATTTAAGAGTGCGTATGGTCAGCCCTGGGTTTTGCGTATAGTGCCATTATGCCCCTGATGGTCTCCTCGGGGAAATTATATTTGGTTAGTACCTTTGTCATATGCCAATTTAGTCTGTCGAAGGCCTTTTCAGCGTCCAGCACCAAGAAAAGACCCCCGAGTTGCTCCCCCTCCATCCCCGCTACCATATTCAGCACCTTCCGTGAGTTGTCAGAGCCCTGGTGCCCCCTCACGAACCCCGACTGGTCATTGGGGACCAGCTTATGCATGAGTGGTGCTAATATTTCACTAAACAATTTTGCATAGATTTTGGCGTCGCTATTTAGTAGGGAGATGGGCCTGAAGTTTTTACATTGGTCTTTAGATTTACCTGGTTTGGGTAACTGGCGTGTTTAATAAAGCATCCCCTTATGAAGGCTTTGTGTGCCAGCCAGATTTGTACAAGGGGCGAGTCTGGGGTTTTGTTCTCCTTAAAGTAGTGTTGCAGTTCCTGTTCTATTTGCTTGACCACTTCGGGGTCTGCGAGCAATTGTTCATTCAGTTTCCAGCTGCCTCTTCCTGTGCTGGGGAATTGTTCTCTTAATGATAAGGTGATAGGGGCATGATCTGACCAGGAGATTAAACCAATGTCAGTGTGCTCAACCTTTGTGAGAGAGGAAGTGTGGATTAAATATCTGTCTATTCTAGAATAACTGTTGTGGACCGCTGTGTGGTACGTATAGTCTCTCTCTGTGGGATGTGTAACCCGCCACGGGTCTGCGAGATTGTGTGTATTCAGTTTGTTGCATATTCGCGAGGTCAGCTTGGACCTGCTCTTTACCGTTTGGGCGGCCAATTTTGGACCTCGGGAGGAGTCTAAGTCACTATCTAATAGAAAATTTGTGCCACCTCCAATGATTACCTCCCCCAATGCATGCGCAGACACCAATCCAAGTAGTGCATCTACAAAATCACATTGGTTAGTATTAGGTCCATATACATTAATCAGGGTATAAATATTGTTATTCTTATCCCCTATTTTGCGTATTAAAGAGAATGCTACATCCTTGCTGATAAGAATGGATACCCCTCTCTTTTTGGTTGCGTAGCATGAGTGGTAATCTGTAGGATATGCTGGGGAGTTAAATTTAGGTCGGTTGCCCCATTTGAAATGCGTCTCTTGAAGGAACACTATACGAGCACCTAGGGATTTCGCCTCGTGTAGGGCTCATCAGCATATATGGGGGGAATTTAGCCCTTTGGCATTTAAGGAGCAGAATTTAAGTACCATTATAGAAGTGGTATAGGTTGTGGACTAATTGTAGAAGGTATAATTGACTTTTATCTATTGGTTTCTTAGGGTTTTTCTGGCCTCTGCCAGAAGGTACCTGTGTACCTCTCATTATGGTGTTATAATAGAATTGGAGCATGGGACTTATGGTCTGTTGGGTTTGAAGAAAAAGAAAACATAATAAAATGTCTGAACCAAAAAGTAATTATGTACAACATTACATTCACTGCACCTTAGCGGTGCAGTGCTTGGTGTAACGGTTTCTATTGTGGCTCTAATATGGAAGCCACTATGGGGGTGAGTATATGAATTAAGAACAAACATTTTTACAATGTATAATTACGAGAGCAATCAGTCAGGGCTCTGGTATCGCCATGACAGTGTGCATTTATGCTTTAAGTCCAGCATTCTGATTGTAAAGGAGTAAGTGTGTTTAAACATGGACAGAGCATACGACCTGTCCTTTTTGAGAGCTGGTCCACCCACACATGAGTATAGGTAGGTCTCTGCTAGGGGCGCCCTTGTGTAGTTGCGGAGCGTGGTTGCCTCTTCCTCCTTTTGGGAGGTCCACCATCTGCAGTTGATGGGGGAGCATCTTGTATTGAAATGTTCCATTCCGTTAGGAGCTGCTTGCTGCTAGGCCACGCCCCCTAAAATAATTATTTTAATATATCCATGGAGGATATGAATTCAGATAAGGACATTCCATCAGTGTCCTCTCCTTTCTTGTCATCTTGATCTTGGGTTTTAGGTTTCTTACCTATCAATAGGTAACCCCTGATTTTGTTCTGTTATTTTTATTTTGTTTAATTCTTTATTTTGGGAATTTGTCAGGTATATAAGGTGTACAACAGTTTGGTGTAAAAGGTGTACATTAAAATACATTGATTCTATTATTTTAAAAACATTATTTTCACTTATCGATAGAGGACACATGCGCAATTTTTTTTATATATATATTTAATTTTATCTTTGTTTAGTTTGCATCAATTGACAAACAAGTTGTTCCATAACTGAAAAGTTTCAAGGTCCCTTGTCAATACCCCATCATTGCTGGTTTAGTTCCAAGCAAAATCACAAGTGTGATTTCAACAGATATAAATGTATCTTTTTAGAATCATGCTATTACTATTTTGTGATCTTTTTAAAGTAGAGTGTTTTTCGTTTCATATTTTTTTCTGTATATTTACATCATACTACTATATTATATTACGTCCTAACCTTTTGGGTTTCTGTCTGGATCATCATCTTCATTAGGTTTCTTTGGTTTGTCTTCCTTGCCATCAGGTTGATTTGGTTCTGTAATGATAAAAAAAAATATTATTTTAATGAATAAATGGGCATAAATTCAGATTAGGTCTCTTGAAATCATCCTGAGCTCAAGTAGCCTAAACTATAACATCTATTTTTTATTTTTTATTTTAAATGTTGATATAAATAATGTTTTGGATCTTGAAGCAACTTCTATAGGAGAATAAAACAGATTGCAAATCCTGATCCATAAAATTAGATCATGTCCTGTCATTCTGCCCTGGGTATATTATACTAAACTAAGGTTATTTTATGATTCCTGGTGGTCTGGTGAGATATATAGATTTTGTACTCCCTGAGTGCCATACAGTCTCATTAATTAAGAGTATGAATGAACTGTAGCAAACATTGATTGGTTTATTTATTCTTCTTATTTTTTTTTTCTCATATGCTCTGTAGTTATTATTAAGAACTAGGGGCTGTGTATAGTGAATACTAAAGATTCCCAAACATGGTAAACAATATATATAAGGCTAATCTTGCCCTTTACGGTTTCACGTAGTAAATTATATACCTAACAATAGCTTGATGATCAATTCTTTAAGGTGTAAAATTAGCACAAGTAAAGAGTTCTTAATTTGTAGTATAATAAACACTACAACAAATTCAGAAAAGCTCTCTTCGAAATGTCAAGAGGATCTCCATTACACTGGAAAAGGAAATGTCACCTATAGTAAACCATGTATTTGTGGGCAATTTGGGCTTTAAAAGATATGATGTGTCTGTTCCAATGTTGGGGACCTCAGATTTGAGTTCTGAACCTAAGATTAAGAATGCCTATGTTAAAGAGTCGTTGGAAGGAGGTATAATGATCATCCTTACGATAGCTTTTATAGGGTGTAAGGTGCATGCACTCATTAAACTAAACCTTACCTTTTGGGAGTCTATCTGGATCCTCTGGTTCGTCTCTATCCTTGTCTTTAGGATTTTTAGGTTTGCCATCTTTGTGATTTGGATCTTTGAGAACATATACATGTTATGAATACCTGGCACAGAACTCTAGCCTAATTATGGACATTGATACAAAAAAACTTTAAAACATATTACCCAAGAAGGAATTGTTCATATTCCTTTCTAAAACAAAATCTAAAGGACAAACCTTAACCCAGGCAAACTTCCTAAAGAATACAGCAGGCCAAGAGTGATGTAAATGTTAATATAAACATACATTTGATATTAATACACTCACAATGTTTCTATATCACCTTCTAAGGGTTATTCACTAAACCAGGAATTGTTGGGAAACTATCAAGGAATTAAACATATAATACAGTATATATATACACACAAATTGTAATTCTCAAATTCAAGTTCACATTTCCAAGCTATTTTTTTCCAGCTCTGTTAAACTTTGCAATTCTTTTGTTGATTTTCCCCATGTCCCAGTTTAATGACTAAGCCACATGCGGTAATGGTTCATTCTTCAGTTGGGGTAGTTGAAGGTTGCAAAGAAAGAGGCAGCAAACTTTCAGCAACAACAATGTTGATGTACTAGGAATAATTTGTAATGTAACATGCTTCGGGAATGACATAACTTCAAACACTCAATTAAAAGAACACTCCATGTAGAAGAACTGCAGAAACAAGGGCTGTGGGTACCCACCAGGACACAGGAATTTTATATATCTTGGGATGGGGTGCCGGGGCACTCATGGTACCACAACTACTACAGCTGATTGTAGTAGTTACAGTGCTTGGAGAGGTCCTTTAAACTAAGGCATTGAAATTTGCATACACAGTAGCACAGGTCAAAGTAGATCCAGTTGAGAAATAAATAAATGTACATAAGCACATCTAACAGCTAACCTTTAGTTGTTCCACTTGTGACATTTCCCCTTTTAAGCAAATTTCACTGTGGCTTGCAGTCTAAAAATTCACACCATTTGATATGAATATCAGTTAAGCTGCTGAAATGATTATAAAGTGTCCCACGTAATTACACATCTTGTCTTGTTATGTGTTTGAAGGACTATTTTCGTAATTTGGTTTAAATCAACTGGGTTGTATTGGATGCCTTTATCTCGTGCCATCTGTAGTAACAAAATAAAGTTCTAACCTTCTGGTGGAGTTTCTGGATTTTCTGGGTCATCCTCCTCTTCTTTCATTTTTGGTCTTCTGGGCTTCTTGGGTTTGCCTTCATCATCTACAGGTGTTGGACGTTTCTTTTTTGGTTCTGTAATATTTAGAATATGATTTTTGCATGCTCCCACCAGTTAATTTGTTATAAGAATATTGTCTTAGAGTAATGTCAGTGATTAAATCAGTGATTTTGAATAATTGCATTATTATTTAGAGAGAAACATTTTGGGAAACGGATATACATATTAAGGGAGTTTTATGAAAATGTTGCAGAATATTAGTGCTTAATTCTAAATTCCCATGGGAAGATTTCCTCATTGTAAAAAGCAGGGAAATCATATATTTTGACTAGGTAAGTCAGTCGGCAAGGTGAGACTATCTATTAAATACTCTTCCTTCATCATTCCACTCCATTTATCTGTAATCAGCCATTTTTTATTTCTGTGATATTCATCTAAAGGATTCTGACATGTACAGGTATACCCATCAAATATATTTATACCAATATAATACAAATACCTGTACCCTAATAAATTATGTAAATGCATGTGTTTTATTTTGTATTTCTTGAGAACAGGTACAAGTTCTCCTATATAAGTTTTCTACTCTCCAGTGATGTGATAATCCACTTAACCACACAAGGGTAGCAAAGGAATGCACAAAGGATTTCGCTGTCCCCAATTTAAGTCCCTACCTGCACTGATAATTTGGTTGAATCTGGCAACAAAACCATGGAAACATACTCTAATTTTTGTTTGGATATTTAAGCCTCATTTAAAAAAAAAAAAAAATTATGAAACAAAATTAGCTGGCTGCTGAAATAAATATTTGAAACCTTACTTCGTTTGATGAAACATAAATGATCTTATACAATAAGGTAATCAATATATCTTCACCTTTAACCCCTTAAGGCCACAACTTCTGGAATAAAAGGGAATTGTGATGTAATATTTCCGTCATGTGTTCTTAAGGGGTTAATAAATACGATAGAACTTTGTGGATACATTAACGGTGAAAGCGTGTAACTATAATTGTTCTGCTACAACTTCCACTAGCCAGTTTTAAAGTTCCTTCCCTTACACTGACATATATGTTCCTTGAGATCAAAGTTCTGTTCAGCAGAACATCTTTCATACCATCATCTGGGTTATCTTCATCTCCTGGTTTGTTTTTCTTCAGATTTTTCCTTGAAAGCTTTTTGGTAGTTTTGCTTCCCTTCACGCTCGAGGAAGAAGACGAAGAAGAGAAGGATGAAGATGACACATTTTCTTCAGATTCTGCAATGGAAATATGATATTTGATTAGTTCAGTGTTTCAATTCCTGGGACTGGACACAAATGTAGGTCATCACTCGTGATGGTCCCCATAGGTAAGAACTGGACCATTTACTTAATCAGGCTGGTGCCTGTCCACGTCCCTGTACTATCCCCCAAATCCCAATATTAAACTGATTAAAAAAGCTTGGAAGAGCGATTTCCAGCCACGTCTCCAAGCCCTCTGGGTATGAGAGCTAGGAATCTTACTTCACAATGTTGCCATCACAGTCGACCATTTTCTATGGAGGAATCGTAGGCGCATCATGGCTCATACAATCCCCAGTGCTCCTCTATGAGGAGCATTGGATTGTCCCACCTGTAGGATGATACAACCTGAGGAGGAGGATGCAGGAGGTCTGAGGGAGACTCGGTGCTGGAGAAAAGTTTTCATTTTCATTTCTTTCGATTTTTTGCACAGTTAGGGGGCGCAATATGATAAGGGGCTCCAAGACTCTAGCAATAGGAAGACATATGAATTCATAACGCTACAGTGGTTACTGTACTTTTAATAAACTATAGGTTTCCTTACCTTCAATTTTTTCTTCTGATTCTGCAAGAACCTTTTTCTTTTTGGGGTTTTTCTTAGGCTTTTTGGCAGGCTTCTTTTTATTCTTTGGAGGGGATCTAGGTTTGGATGTTTCAGGATCTTGATCAGGGTCTGCAACAGAATTAAAAGTATAGTTATTTAAACATTTTAAAATTAAATTAAAAAATAAATAAAAGTAGTAGGTTTAACAATCAAGTAGTGTTAGGCAAAATGTCAGTGTCCTAAATTTACGTAAGTAATGGTTTAATATCTAATCTGACCAAACTATACAAAGAACCCTGTATAATTTATATATTTTTTTATTGTTTATTAAATATTCCCATTAAACATCATAAACCTTATTAAATGGCAACAAGTGTGTCCCCTCTTTTTTTCATTTTATAAATAAATAAATCTGTTATTAGACAGACACAGAAAGTCTGTGCTGGGAGGAAGAATGGAAGAACTCGCAGTAGCTGCAGATATTAGATCTGAAGGTATTGCAAGCCAAAATTTCATATACCCCCAAAGAAACAATGCAAAACAAATCATATGCATATTTTCTTTGGGATTATATCTACTATATTGTTGTTATTTTTTTAATTTAGGGTTTCTTTATACTGTTTATACGTGCACCAGCAGGAGCTGAGTGACTTTTTTGGCCTATAACCAAGACTGGCGCGTCCATAAGGCGGCACAGGCGGCCGCTTTAGGGCGCACTGGCCCGGGTGCGCAAATGTCCTGGGGTGGCCTCTCCTGCCGGTCACTTCTTGTGAGCGCCAACCTGCAGTGCCGCGGGCTGTGTGGAGGGGGCGGGGATATCAACACGTCATATCTCTGCTCCCTCTGTAGCACACAGTGCGGCTGGCGCCCAGCAGGGGCGGAGCTACTGCGGCCCTCTTCTAAGCATGGGAGGACTTCCTCCCAAGAAGACTAGAGCAGCGAGAGCAGGAGAAGGCAGAGAGGAGGGGGGCTGGGCAGGACCAACTCCTCCAACTCTCAACTACCTCAGGCAGCACTTTGGATCCAGGTAAGTCACCCTCCTGAACCCAAAAAAGTATGAAACAGGAGAATGGCTAGAAAAGTGTGTATATCCATCAGTGTGTATCTATATGTCTGTCAGTGTGTGTGTGTGTGTCAGTGTGCCTGTATGTCTGTCTGTCAGTGTCTGTGTGTGTATGTCTTTCAGTGTGTCTCTGTGTGTATGCCTGTCTGTGTGTGTATATGTCTGTCTGTCAGTGTGTCTGTGTGTATCTATATGTCTGTCATTGTGTGTGTGTGTGTATGTCTGTCTGTTAGTGTCTGTGTGTGTGTTTGTGTATGTCTGTCAGTGTGTCTGTGTGTGTGTGAATCTGTATGTCTATCATTGTGTATGTGTGTATCTGTATGTCTGTCAGTATGTATATGTGTGTCAGTGTGTCTGTATGTCAGTGTGAGTTTATCTGTATGTCATACGCAGACAGTCATAAAGAGACATACAGACAAGGCATACACAGACAAACAAATAACCCTGCACACTGATACCGTGTAAATGCTCCGACCATTCACAGTGATGGATGCTCTGTGTCAGACGGACATCGCTGGATCCACCAGTAAAGTCTTCAAAAGGAATAAACGCAGGTAATACTGCAATAGTAAGGATGGCATATTTATTGATAGGTGAACCACCCCAAAGAAAGTGCAACAGCAGAGCCTTATTGAGTGATTAATTATTGCATGATTAAGGCTCTGCTGAGCAGAAACATCACACTTTCTATGGGGTGGTTCACCTACCAATAAATATACCATCCTTACTATTGGAGTGTTGCCTGTCTCTATGTTTCTTTATGTCTGTGTCTGTATTTCTCTGTGTGCCTGTGTCTGTAGGAATGTATGTCTGTGTTTGTATGACAGTGTACCTGTATGTGTAGATTGTATGACTGTGTTTGTTTGATTGTGTGCCTTTTTTGACTGTGTGTCTGTATATCTTTGTGACTGTGTGCCTGAATAATTATATCTGTGTGCTTGTATGGTTGTGTATCTGTATGTTTGTGTTTTTGTGCATGTTTGTATTTTTGCCTGTATCTATATCTATATGGGAGAAAAAGATAGAGAGATAGGGCCTGGGGGGAAGAAAGAGACAGAAAGGGGCTGGCAGGGAAGTAAGAAATACATAAGAGGGGTTGTAGGAGACACACTAAAGGGGGGTGTAAGGCACAAAGGGGCCAAAGGGGTAAGACATTCAAGAGAGTGGATATGCAACACTAATGGGGGTAAGAAATTCAAAAGGGGGGCTACGAGACACAGAGGTGAAGATGCATTGGGTTTTTTTTGGGGGGGAGGGGCGTCAAAATGCATCTTCACCTGTGTAGTCAAAAATCCTAGCACCGGCCCTGCCCATAACCCAAGATATTTGATATTAGAACTCATAACTGTTGCCTTCCATGCCACCATGATTCATTTTATTTCTGTCTTAATTTATTTTCAATGTTTTGTAATAATATGTAATATAATTTTCGATGGGTCATTCTAGTTCACCCACAAGATACCCAATTTTGCAGCTTCTCACTTACCAATTCTGGTCTGGATGCTATAGTGAAATTTACAACCATGCAATATATTTCTTCACATAGAGAGCGCTCAAGGGACTTTGCCAAAAAAAGTCTTTATTTTCAATATAGACACCTATGAACATTCTGATCAATGTTTTAGTCCTACTACCAGGACATTTATCAAGACCTGGTTGTACGACTGAAACTTTGACCAGATTTTTCCAATGTAACCAAAACTTTACTAATACATGCTAAAAACAATAAAGTTTTGACCCTATGTGGTTATTATCAAGCCCTATATTGATAATGACCCTATAGGGTCAAAGTCCTTTGAGTGCGGACAATTTATTTATATATAAATAATAAAGTGCTGGCGCAATATTAATAATAAATTAATAATTATATATATATATATATTTGTTTGTACATATATAGAGGAGCAAAACTTATTTGTATACACTAATTTATGAAATCAATATGCAATATTGTTACAAGGCATCTTAATGACAAAACACACAGACAAAGAATAAAAACAGTCAATCTGTTGAAGATGAAGGTTATAAGGTTGAATATCACTCGTACAATGTAGAAAAGACGTTCATGTATTTATTGCAAAGAACACAAAGGGTAGGATTCCTATTTTGGAGGTTTTGGGAATTTGAGAAAGAAACTGAAAGATGTCAATACATTTCAGAAATACCAATGTTCACACCTTTGGAAGAAGGAGACATCAGTAGTAAGGGTATTCTATAGCTTGTAGTGACCACAACAGCCATTGACCTACAGACTCTCTTCAATGACATCTTTTTCACAAATAGATATTAGATTTTCTCAGAAAGCAGAAGGCTCAAACCATTTAAGGACAAAAACAAGATATTGCTTTGTACATCAGTTGACCTGGGCGCAGAGATTTGAGACACTCTTTTGGACTCAAATCTTTGTCCTTTGGTGCAGGAACTCTGCTCCAAAACTTGCCCATCTTTACTAAATACCTTCTAGATCATCTTCATATTCTACAATAATCCTCCTTTTCTTCTTTCTTGGTTTGTTTGGAGGATATTTTATTTTCTTTCCGTTCTTATATTTTGGTGACTTTTTAAGATTTGACGATGGAGATGTTCCCTCGCGGGAATCTAGATTGAATTAAATAAACTTATAATATCTTTTTTGTTGTGGTTGTTGTTTGGAGAATTAAAAAAAAATATGATTTAATAATGCTCATGTGTACATATATATCATACTGAATTTATTTACTGTACTGTGAAGTTTGATGATTTGAAAGTACAACAAAAAAATAGCTAAACTGAATGAAAGCTGAAACAGAATTTCTTTTTTTCTCAATTCAGTTATTTTGACTGATGTTTTGTAAGTCAGTTTTTTAGTTTACCATAAGCAAGCCCAAATATACTTCTCATCCAGGGGAATGAATTAAACAGGGTTATTTACAAAAGTGAGAATTTAAAGTGAATGCAAAGTGAATTCTAAATTCAATGACAAAATAACTAAGCTGGAAAAAATCCTGAGTCAGCTATTCTTTAAGCTCGGCTACACTGGCCTTAAATTTAAAAGTGGTTCAAAGTGGTGCTGGTGCTTGGAGTTTGCATGTACAGGTAAGCTTCCATCGATGTAATGCATTCTGAGTTGATGGACTGATTCTGCCTCCATGCTTGCATAGTGCTAAGAATATGAACAGATTGGCTGGTCTGAATGCTCAATCTATTACATATTTCATTTTAAAGTACCTTCAGGTTCCTCATCTTCTGGGTTAATTAATGTCTTATATTTCTTCTTTATTTTTTTTTTAGGGTTTCTTTTGGTAGTTTTTTTAGTTGGCCTTTTTGAAGATTGTACGCCTCGTTGTGGGAAGTCTAGGAGCAAATGTAACAGAATGTCTTCAGTTTCTTCTAAGAAATTCTTTTTTAACTGAGAAAGAATTAAACTTCAACAGCAAATGTTCAAAGAGTGTACGTTATGAAAATGAAAGAAAACAAATGTATTTTAAACATTAAAGATGGTACCAATATAAAAAGGACATTGTTTCCCTTTATGAATATTTTGCTGGGAAAATACAGTCACTGTGGACATACCAATTTTTGTTGTTGAGCAATAAATAGCTGTCATAATACCAAATAAGAAGTGCAATTGGCTCCTTGGGACCCTAATTTGCCAATTGAGTTCATAGCTTGACATTACATTTGTCTTCTTGCAATGCTTTGTGCTGTGATTCAACTTGATCACAAACCCCTGCAGAGTCCTTTTAACAATATGGTGTTTTGCTCATTCAGAACAATCTTCAACCCTGGACAACCCTATCAAAAACAACTATGGATTCAGTAAGTGTGTCTGGGAACTGATATGACCTCAACTCTGACACAGGGAAGAGAATATTAACAGATCAGCCATGCAAAGCAGCCAATCTATTACATATTCCCATTTAAAGTACCTTCAGGCTCCTCTTCCTCTGGTTTACTAAATCTCTTATAGTTTCTTTCTTCTGGTTTTACAGGGTTTCTTCTGATCTTTTTTTTAGGTGATGATGGTGTGTGTCTCTGTGGCGCATCTATAAGCAAATGTAACAAAGGACGAAAGTAATCAAAATGTTATGTTCTGGAAAATGGTGTAAAGTTCTACAAGTAGGCCATCACTCTGGTAACCTGTGGAACCATCAGGCAAATGTATTTAGTGACACTTCCCCTTTTACATCTTTGCACCATTTTTTGGAACATGACCCTTTGATAAATTTCCCACATAGTGTCTTCACTTCCTTGTAAGACATTCAGGGTACAATTTTATCTGAACCAAAATGATACCATGGCAAGAAGCGATGAGAATGTAACAATAAAAAAAGAAAGAAACATCATAATCCAAATTTCCTTAAAAAAAGCCCACTTCCAACTATTCATGATTAGAGATTTAGTACATACATTTACAATGTTTACTTAGAACAAAAATTGAGGACTTTTACTCATATAAAGTCATTGAGGATTTCACTACCAAATTAAATCACATGTTAAGCAAATACCAAATTCATACAGATTTGGGTGCAAAAGATGAAAATTCCATGTTTTTTTTTTATAACAAACTCAAAATTGGACTGTTTGATGAGCATATTATCTCATTTTCCTCATTGCTGTTGATTTCCATATTATCTAATTGGAATGTTTACAGACAATTATTAGAGTTGATTTATCTGTCTTGTGGCACACCTGTTTTAATATGGACTACAAAGGGATGCGTTCTAGGGAATAACACTGGAATACTTTAGTTTTAATTATATTTTTTCATCATATTTTTTCATCATATTATTAAACCTCATATGGACGGTCAAACATATGACTTTACATGAAATTCCAGATGATAACAAGAATGAATAACTATCAGAAATCACTATGAGTAACTTGATACTATTCAACAATGCTACCTTTTTGATCCTTTTCCGGTTCATTTACTCTGCTTTTGGGTAGTTTTGGGGTTTTCTTCTGAATTTTCCTTTGTGCTGGGTCATCTCTCTGTTCAGGATCTATATTAAATATTTTACAACATGCAATAACATTTTGGAAATACCCACCTGGGCTTTGGCTGGATGAAGGGGCCCCAGCCTGCTCTCTTTGGAACCTTCACATGGAACCCCACAGATACACCAATTTATGCTCTAGTTGCTATAATATACCCATGATTCTCCTTCTATGCCACAGAAGAACATGGAGGTGCAAGTTGTGAAAGTGCAAAGTGAATTCAAAGTGAAATTAAAATTTTTGGAAAAATAGCCAAATTTAAAAAAATTCAAAGTCGGCTAAATTGGCCTAAAATTTAAATTCGCAAAGAATTGTCTTTAAATTCTGAATAATTCATACTTTATTGAACAATCCCACCAGTTTAAGAATGCCAAAGACAATGCCATACAGGGCTATTTCCAGACAAACCTCCAGAGATGGTTGACAAGTTAATTGGTACTACCACTAGGGAGTAGAATAGTTCATCAGTACAACCAAGAGAAACCAGATCAGTGCAGATATGTTTCATCTCTACTTCAAAATTGGCAAGGGTGGCAAATTGCCCATGCCTCTGGCACTTCTTCTCCCAGTTGTCCAAGTTGTGCCCCAGCATCCGTATGCTAAAATAGTGTTGATCAGTCTGATATTGCTGATAGATCTTTCCTTCCATGATCTAAATAACCTTGTTAGCTTCTATTTCTAACATTTCCGGAATAATTTAGTTTTACTTACATTTTTTCATCATATTGTTTCTGTATGTAGCTATTTTATTTTCTCCAGGCACAGTGGGTTAAACATCTCTAATATTTGGTTAGTTTGATGTAGTGGGTGGAATAGTACATAATGCCTATATAGTGTGCCCAGATCCGGTTATTTTCCAGATCTGAATCTGTAAATCTGATATTTAAGCTGTACAGTTATAATGACATAATGGTAGACAGAAATGTCTACCTGAATTGTGAAGACTTGACAAGAGAATTACAATTTTAGACCAGAGAATATAAAATGGAACAGTCACCAACTCAGTTGTTTCCAGCTCATCTCTAGTGGTCCAAAAGTTCTTGGCTATTTTTCAAAACGGAAACCTTTAACTTAGTTATTCACTAAAATTATAATTCAAAGTGAATTTCAAATTTTAGGGCAAAAAGAGCTGAACTGGAAAACTTATTTACTTTACTTTACTAAGTTACTTATGCTTCCTAATACAACAAAAAACTTGCACACTTACCCTAGCAGTGCTATGCAGGGAAATGGAAATTTACATGAAATTGTATTTATTCTTTTCAAACTCAAAATTCGTAGATATAACAGAATCCTAAAATTCCTCATATAGGTAACACAAAAAAGTATACCTACCAAAAAATAAATAAATAAGAAACCAAATAGAGTAATATCACCAATACACCAAATATGTGAATTTCAAGGTTAAACTCACAAAACAAAACATTGTTGGTAAAAGGTCCATCACATATGTAGTAGATCTCACACTTAAATCTTGTAAGTGTACTACAATAAAGCAGATATTCATTTTTTTACGTTTCCCTACATGCTCCTGGGAGAATTCAGAGGATGCTCAATTTGAGATCTACTACATAGGTGATGGACCTTTTACCAACAATGTTTTATCTTGTGAGTTTAACCTTGAAATTCACATATTTGGTGTATTGGTGATATTACTCTATTTGGTTTCTTATTTAATTTTGTAGATATACTTTTTCGTGTTGGCTATGCTTACAGTTTGACCTTAATCGTGAAATCCACTTTCAATTCATCTTACGTTCTCACTTGTGAATCAACCTGAAAATATCTGTTTTTCAACTCAGATATTCTAGCTAAAATTAGATTTTTTTTTGTTAAAGTTCCATAATTCTCAGTTTAATGAATAACACTCTTAACAATCAAAGGCAGGCAACTAAACAATATTCAAAACCGTTCTAGGTCAAAACAATATAATATAGCAATAATACATCTTATTTCAAATCAACTAAAAATGTATCAGTACAATGTCACCAATGTGAAGGCACATATTAATATATCTCCCACTTGTCACTATATTCACTTGTGTGTTTGTGATTTGTTTTATAATTTGTTTCTATAAACAGCTGCTCCACAATTGTAGAGATCTGTGTCTGAGAGAGGTTCATAGAGGGATCACATAATAATTCTATATTTTTTCCTAAAGCAACAAATTACAAATCTTGTGACGAATGAACAAATCTCAATGCCGTTTATTTATATATGACCTCAGGATGTAAGATGTTCTAGCAGTCCATCAATGGATAGGTGGGGATACTCTTTGCTAGAACTGTTTTGAAATGAATGAAACATACGTGGATACTGCATAATAGCTGGCAAATATAAAGCATTCATGGACAATAATGTGGTAATTTGTGTTACCTGCAGGGTAGTCATCTCTTTCTCTTTCACCATTTGGTTTTCTTGTAGGCTCAGGGGTCCTATCTCTTTCATCAACTGCTGGCGAGGACTCTCTGCGAGGTGGTGGGGAGTGACGCTCCGTTGGTTCTATAATAACAACAGCAATGAATTGTATGAACATTTATTGTCTGTCTGTCTAAATAATGTGTGTAACTTATATACAATTGTACGATTCAAGCAGCAAAATATCACTATAGTTATAAGAAAAAAAATCACAATTTATTTGGACTATTACAGTTGTTCTTAATCGAAGACTTTGGATGTTTGGAAATGCTTTTTGTGCAAATAAATTATTTTAAACCACAAGTTCATTAACCCAATAAACTATCCTACATAAAGAATGCATGTTTCTCTTTCCTAACTCCATAATCTATTAACAATTAAAAACAAGATATCAAAGTATTTGGAAGTTACTAAAAGTGCTATAAATCAGAGAATTATGAATTAAAATGTGATATATCATTCTAATAATATGCTTCCACTTCCACTTATTACAGTTTATAGAATTAAGATTTACAAATGTGTTAATTTTCCACTTAAAGAACTAAAAATTAGAAAAATACTGTAAAGAAAAGGTGCTTATGCATGCAGGAATAAAAGCACTTACTGGCACAAGATTCTTTGTAGTCTGAACAGCATCTTCCATAACTTTCACAGCCAGGATCACAATCACAAGTCTGTCCTCTTATAAACCCTTCATGGCATCGTCCCTTGCATGAGGCCTCTGAATTAAATATGTGTAAATACATTAGATATAATACAATATGTAATATGGATGTATGCAAATTACAGAGAGAAAGAGAGATAAAAAGAAAGAGAGAGAGAGAGAATTACATACCAATCGTTTTTCTAAATGCTGTAAGAAAATACCTTGATCAGAAAATAATGCGAAGTTATTTAAACACGTTTAAATTTACATTTTTTTTTTAAAATCCACTAAATATGATTTCTTTTGAGTTGGCATTTAATTTGCAAAATTAATGTTACAATAGTTGATTTGGAGCAAATGTTCAACTTCAACTGGTATTTTTTGTTTTTCAGCTGTGCTATTTTGGTCTAAATTTTGCAACTTTGCTGTAATAATTATGCTTTCTATTCTAACATTATTGGTGCTCATCCAGCTTTAAAGGAACATCCTAAATGCCTAAAGTTGTTTATCTCGCTGAATTGCTTTACTGCTTGAAGAGTGTGTCCTCTTTTTTTTTCATTTTACACAAAGTTCAAATTTCAATAGAAATGTGTACTTTTATAAGTGAATGTTGTTTCATCCCATGTTACTCCCTGGTTTGGTTAGCGCAGTAGAACTAAACTCAAGAGGCAGTAATTGCCTAGAGCACCTGCCTTGCAAAGATTTCTCATTGAGCTGCACTGGGAAGTCTGTGATTGGACAGCCACAGAAGGTCTGGGTAGAGTTAGAAGGGGTTTTTGTAAGCTGACTTTACATTGACACCCAATGGAAACATGCATTACAAAAAGGCATTTATGTGTTCACTGCGGTATATCTACTAAATAGAGAATTTTCCCCCCTCTATTATTGTTCAGTAGAGTGCCCCTTTAATTCACTTTAATAATACCTAAATTTAGTGCACAGTGATAAATAAAAATGAAAATGTTAGGCCAAAACAGTCAAGTTCTAAATATAAAAAAAATGAGCAATTTAATATGTCAAGCATTTTCATACTGTATATGTAAAAAATATATAATTTGACTTTATTAAATATTTACAAATTTTTGCACTTTACATATGTATATCTACACAATTATCATTAGTAAATGCATTTTTTTCTTTTGTGATTTTTTTACTTTAACCAACTCTGCTATTTTGGTTAGATTTTCCAATTGAGTCAATTGCAACATTTAGGAATTTAAATTGAATTGACGGTGTAGTGAATAAACCACTTTATAAAAAAACTCAAGCGTCATAACATTATCCTATAAATAATGCTAAAATCACATATCTATTAACAGTCTTTATAAACACTAGTTGTGATGTACGTACCTGCATCTCTGCTTAATATAATGATTAGCACAAGAAATAACATAAAATCTGGTCTTCAACAAATGTGCACACGTTCCATCATCCAGTATTGTTACATAATTGGCCATTGGCATATTTCTGGGTATTTAGTGTTTCCAAGATTTGACAGTTTTTTTGTGTTTTCCATAATGTAAATTAACAAAATCAATAAATTTTTCTACTAAAGTTTTCCAGCATATAGTTTTTTATCTGATCTGATTTGAAAATTAACTGATTTTTGGTTTAGACTTTTTTTTAGAACATTGAGGTTGAAATTTAAACAGAAGAATAAGTATGAACAGAAGAGACCAAAACTAATCAAAAATACCCAATAGAGGAGGAAGGGACTTGACTTTTATGGAGCTCTGTCTTCAGAGCACACATTAAATGAAATGTGGTACAAATTAAAATGAATGATGGATCTTAAAGGTTGTGTGGAGATATCGATTGGTGGGAGAGGCCACATATCCTGTTTAAGGTAAACCAATAATTTTAACTTAGCTATTGCATCAAATTAAAATGCAGGGTTCTATGTTACTAAACCAGGAATTTAGAATTTACTAACGAATTGCACATTTTAATAAAAAAATAAAAGCTGATTTGTTGAATTTTTCCAGCTTGGCTATTTTGCCTATTCTCCTAAATTTCCAGTTTAGTGAATATAACTCAATGCATAATTAATATAATTCCATACTATATTTTGGTGATGGTCTAGGTGGTGTGGTGTCCATAAGTGGGGAATCTAAAATGAGCTTGGTGGTCTCGTTACCTGTTGTGCAAACTGTCTTGAAGTCCTGACAACACTCCATAAAAGACATACAGGTATAATCACAATGGCAGGCATGCCCTCGAAAATACCCTTCACCACATCTCCCAACACAGCTTGTGTCACCTACAATTAAACAAAAAACACAACCTATTAATAAAATAGCACTATGTTAAATAAAAAACACCAAACATCTAGTCTAATTTTACCACCCACTGAAAAATTTATTCCAGTAAGAGTCATGGCTGTGTATTGTACTGGAGAGCAGGTACTGTGACACCGGCTGAGATTTCATGCGTGGATATATTATAGCTTAATGGATACATTTGATCTCCATTTTATTTTATTTCTTCAGTGTCTCTTGGAATAAAGATTGACACATTCCAAGTGTCCATACAGAGAATATTCCATAGATAGATGCATAGCCTCAGGCATTGCAATACCAAAGTACTACTCACAAAGTGACCTACTCATAACCAGAAACCAGTTACCGAAAATCCAACAAAATGAAAGTATCCTATTTAAAAAGACTAATTTCTAAACAAATGTTTAAAATGCACTACCTTGAGCTTTTTTGTAATACAGATCTGTTATACATCCATTCACCCCAAATAATCAGAGGGAAAAAAAATTAAATATCAAACAAACAAAAAAAAACTGCTAAAAAGGAGTAAGTGAACAGTCGTGCCATGCGTATATCAAACAACAACTATCACATATGTCTTGTCTGCTTAAATGTAAGTGCAAAATGTGTTCGGAATCATTTATTGCTCTTTTGATATGAAGACTGCAAACGGCTGGGTACAAAATGAATGATATAAATGTCACTACAAATGTCGCTACAATTAATGCATTTTTACCTTGTAATGATCCTTGACATTCAGGCACATTATGTAACGTTAAGGACTAACATCATCTTTGATTTTATATCACACATTATGTCTTATTTGTCTTATTGCTGGGGATTTTATATCACTGCTATGAATGTAAAAACTTAGTTTTTATAGGACATTTTAAATGCTGAGAATATATCCTTATATAACTCTTTGTAAATTACAAACATTACTTATGTCCTGTTGTTCACTGCGAGTTATTAACCTACTTTAAAATCGTCATTTAAATATTAAAAAAAAATGTGTTGTCACAGTGTCAAGTTAATCAAGATATCAGAATACCATGTTTAGTTTGTTGTTCAGAGTGACAGACCCAGAAGATATGCAATAATGAATTTCTTGAATACATCAAATTGAAACATCATCCAGCCAATGGCTCAAAATATATCATAATATAGATGGATATTGCCCTTATGGCCATTGGATCAAAGTTTCTCATTTTAAAGCCTTGTTGTGTGAATGATGCTGTATTTTGTGTATTGTGAGTTAATTCATTATAGAACTGCAATGCATGGCCAGGCATTCATTAATTACTTTTTACATACACAGGTATAGCGTGAACAAAAATATGACATTAAAATAATAAGTAATTTGTACTCACTTACCATATTCGTTTTATTCCTTTATGTAAAGACTGAACTACAGCATGAATGCACTCTTAAAATCCCTGAATATAACATTATTAGCTAAATGAAAACTGTAAGGGAACTGTCACTTCCCTGGAAATTACACCTTTATAAAAAAAAAAAAAAAAAACATTGAAAATAACCTATAATTAGTGTTTTTCATGAGATGCTGAGTTTTCCTTTAAAGGACCACTAACTGCATCCAGACAACTTCATCTCAATGAAGTGGTCTGGATGCAGTGGCCCTGTAGGGTTAGCCCTGTAATGTAAAACATTGCAGTTTTTTTTTTGTTTTTTTTTAACTGCAATGTTTAAACTGCAGGGATAACACACCTCTAGCGGTTTTATTCCTGGCAGACACTAGAGGTGCTCCACAGCTATAACCGAGTTAAACTCGGTTACAGATCAAATTACTCTCCTAGAGAGCATTTAATTGGTGCAGTGCAGTGCAGCGCCCACGAATTCCCACTAGCCTCCTAATGTTTCTCCATGGGATTGGCTGAATTAACTAATCATCATGATATCAGCCAAGGAGGCAGGGCATCAGGAAGGAGACTGTGGCAGCAAGTGCTGAAATCTAAATAAAACTCACCATTCAAACCCTCACAGTCGCTCAGGAAGGGTGATCTAAGAAGGTATGTTAAGACTGTAGTATTAGCAATACATGTTTTCATCCTTAACGCTATAGCGTTCGTTTGAAGTTATATTAAAGATTTATTAAATTACATCATAATCCAGTTCAGACAAGGTAGGGAAAATATTGCAAACAAAGAGTAGAAACAGAAATATACTTTAATTTATTCTCCTCTCTGTATGTTTTATCTATTTTAATTGCCAAGTGCAAAGGACGGAGCTAAGATGGAAAAGTAAATGCAGGCAACACTCCAATGGTAAGGAAGGTATTTTATTAACAGGTGAAGCACCCCACAGAAAGCGCAACGTTTCGGCTCAACAGAGCCTTAATCATGCATATGGATAACAAAGTGCAAATGTTCATATATAACCCCACAACCAATTAATTCATCAATAAAAATACAAACACATGTATCTAAATGACATACAAAATATCAGTAGTAAAACATAACGGACGTTTCTGAAAACATTAAGTAGTATGGCTAAACATCGCAATATATGGCATGGAATATGACAAGGCATAAAGTAATATGATTTAATGTTAAAGACACAATGTATCAATCTAAAATTTATATCCCAGTAAACCAACTAGAAAATTCAGGGCCATCTTAATTAATATGCTACAGCTGGCAGAAGCATATGTCGATAATACATGTTAGAATCTTGGGAAATCACATTGTCAACAGAACATAATCTTAGTGTTTATACAAAATCAATCTATATATCGTCTTTAAGATGGCCATGTACAATATGTAAACAATATAGGCACATAGACACTGAATATTCTAAGGAGTCAAATTTACCCCATGTGAAACCACCAAAATCCCGGTGTACACAAAATCGGGTTTTTCAGTCGAACACGCTAAGAAAGGAAAAATAATAAATCTGATTCCAGATGAAATGTATACAAAAGGAATTACAGAAAGGAGATGAGCGAAAAATCTCTGAGTCCCTTGGGCCATAGAGTGTCTAACGTGTGAATCTAAAAGGCTTCCTTCTTTCTAAGTAAACTTTGTCGATTACCTCCTCTCCTAAGTGGTGGTATATGGTCTTAGAAACATAACCTTTGTGCACAGAGTACACTGTGTGATTTTTTTTAAATTAAATCTTTCCAATTAATAGCTTGTCTGGCAAATATTCTGAGACTCTCCTGGATTATAGATAATGCTACCTACAATGGCTTGATATTTTATGTAAAACATGTATTGGCTGTTTTCATTTTGGTTTACAGCTACTTTTAGATTATTATCCAGCACCATCTAGTGGAGTATACTGATTACTATTACTTCTGTAAATATCTGGAGAAAAATGTCAGTTCCTGTTATGTAAATTGAGACTAAGGTGGAAATTTATTAAAGTATTCTGTTCTAAAAAAAACTATGCAAAAAATAGGAAAGGGGACATCACCAATGGAATGTGTCTGCTGGTTCCACTGGTAATTGCCTCACTTTTAGTACTTTATACCACATTTTAGAAAAGAACTCTCTGATATATTTACTGCTAAGAGTAGGAGTTTAATTCCTTTCCATTAAAAGTGAACCCCCAGAACCTAGATATTAATTAGTTGTTGAGGGTGCTAGGTACAATTCCTGTAGGGAGACTATGGGCTAACTCATTGAGGCAGACGCATTGCTACCACTGTTTTACGCAGAATGATGCCACCATCAAAATGGCAACTTTACTAGCCAACCCAAGGGTAAGCCATAAAATATAGACACCTGAGACAAGTATAGCACTGCCTGTTATTAATGGTCCTATTTTACCTGAAAACCCAGAAGGTTTTATTGACTATAATCATTATTTTAAGTAAACGAGAAGGTGTTTCCAATAGTATAAATTACTAGCAGGTGTTTCCAATAGTATAAGTGCCAACTGTAATGTATAGATCTATACCAAAACCATTACTCTTATATATAAAGCACTGATTTTAGTGGTTTTCTCCCAAATAGTACCCCCTTCACAATAATACACAGGTGTCGACATTACAATGTTTGGTAACATTGATCTAGACTGGGGTAGGCAACCTTCAGCATTCCAGGTGTTGTGGCCTGCATCTCCCCTGATGCTTTGCAAGCATTATAACTGTAAGAGCATTATGGGACATGTAGTCCAAAACATCTGGAGTGCCAAAGGTTGCCAACCTCTAATTTAGACTGTGCTATGTATACAGTGCAGTCCATGAATATCTTGTGCTATGTATACAGTGCAGTCCATGAATATCTGGACAGTGACAAAAAGGTTGCTTGGTTCAAAATTAAATAAAAAATCTGCACAGTTCTGAAAAAAAAAAAGAATAACCAAGAACCAGAGTGATAGAAAGAGGAAAAATGGAGAAAGACAGGAATGGTACATGATCCAAAGCATACCGTCTAATCTGTGAAACATGGTGGAGGTAATGTTACGGATTGAAGATCTATGGTGGCCACGAGATTGGACTTGCTTTACTGATAACACTAGCAAAATTAATTTTGATGTGAACAGGTCCTTACTTGAAACCACCGGAAGACATTTCCAATTGCACCAAGACAACAACCTTCATCAATATATAGCTAGTTCAACAAAGCAGGTTTTCACGGACCAAAAAAAGAATAATGACCTCATAGGTCAAGTCAACCTACTGACTTGAATCCAACTGGGTATATGTTATACATGAATGAAGGGAAACACTCTCAAAAGAGGCAATAACCGAACCAGGTACTGGACTGAAACATGTTATGTGTATGGTACCGCACTATGCAGTCATGAAATTAAATAATCTGCATACATTTACAAAAATTATTTTGTTTATTGACTTTTGCCTCCTATAGTAGAGGAACTATGTCTGTTCCTATACCCTCATATTAAAGCTAAAATTCCACCGTATCTTTTTTTTCATGGTTTAATTTCAGTTTTTATGAAAATTAACATTTTCCTTAATTTATAATTTTTTTCTGAAGTATTCTTGGCTCCACGTTGTAGTTGATTATGGCAAAACCTACACTTAAGTTACATTTTTTCTTAAAAAGCTGATTACATCTTAAAGTGCACACTAATTATCTGTCAGCTGTAATATTATGTTTTTTCCGGGGAAGGCATCATTCATTTTTTCCTCATTGCTCAATGCTAGTAATTGACTCTGACTCACTATGTAAGACTTTGTGTGTAATCAGATGATGGTAGGTGAAAATTTACTTGATGGACCTTCGTATTCAGAATTGAGATGACAATGCTTAGATAAATTACTTAGAAATGGTATTTAAGCAATGTTATCCACCAGCTTGCTTTAAAAGAACACTATAGTCACCTAAATTACTTTAGCTAAATAAAGCAGTTTTAGTGTATAGATCATTCCCCTGCAATTTCACTGCTCAATTCACTGTCATTTAGGAGTTAAATCACTTTGTTTCTGTTTATGCAGCCCTAGCCACACCTCCCCTGGCTATGATTGACAGAGCCTGCATGAAAACAAAAAAACTGGTTTCACTTTCAAACAGATGTAATTTACCTTAAATAATTGTATCTCAATCTCTAAATTGAACTTTAATCACATACAGGAGGCTCTTGCAGGGTCTAGCAAGCTATTAACATAGCAGGGGATAAGAAAATCTTAATTAAACAGAACTTGCAATAAAGAAAGCCTAAATAGGGCTCTCTTTACAGGAAGTGTTTATGGAAGGCTGTGCAAGTCACATGCAGGGAGGTGTGACTAGGGTTCATAAACAAAGGGATTTAACTCCTAAATGGCAGAGGATTGAGCAGGGGCATGTTCTATACACTGAAACTGCTTCATTAAGCTAAAGTTGTTCAGGTGACTATAGTGTCCCCTTAATACTCTGTAATAACCCAAAACTATTTATATACAGGGTTAATTGCCACATTGTTCTGTTTCAGTGTGTATGTGTACTAGGTAATCTGTTGTGATGAATTTAATTGATTCAACAGTATACCTACTTTTGGGCCACAATATATGATGAATATACATATTGACATCTAGTCAAATAGAGCTTTAGGTTTTCTTTCCACTCCAGAACCATGATTCAACTAGTGGGAATTAATTCTCTTCCCTGGTTTAAGTCAGTCCATATCATTATATGATTCATCGTAAATTATACATTGCTCAGGAGCCTACATGGCTCACAGAGAACAGAGGAGAAATGGAGAGAGCTCCAGGAATACCATTAGTATTCAAGGGCATGCAATGCCATAAATTATACAAATGCTTTGAGTTAGCTAGGTAACGATTTATAGACATAAATAGATGTTTAACCCCGCTTGGTTGCATTTGTGTTTTCCTTATTCTTGGGTCCAGACACTTTGGTGTCTGATGACAGAAATCTTGGATGTCCCACCTGGAATCTGCTGAAGCTATTCTCCCAACATGGGAGTTACAGCCATGAGTGCTGCTTATCACCACTAAGTCTACTGTGACCTTGACCTTCACTTTCCATATTCTTTCCAGCTCCTCTTTGAGTCCTTGGCATTTGTCCACCTTTGCATGTTCTTTCTTCTTGATGTCATGGTGACTGGGTAGTGCCACATCCACTACTACTTCAGTCTTCCATTCATTGTCCAACACCACAACGTCTTCTTGGTTGGCCAGTACATATTTGTCAAATAGTATGCAAAATACATTCAGGCATATCACCACTGGTTTGATGCAGGGTTTTATTGACTTGACAAAGGCCACATGGCGAGGCTGAAATGTTTGTCCTTGTAACTTGGAGTTTCAGTTAAAGCCTGTATCATACCAGTTGCCATGTGGCAGACTTATTTTGCATATTATTTGAATGTAAGGAAGTTTGCTGCCTCCATGTATGGTAGCACCAACATTGGTCTAGTTTTGTTCATCGTATTCTTTCTTTACATTTATAGACCTTGTTTGTCATTTATTGATCTAGATGTCCCATCCTATCCTAGCCCTGTCATTTGCATTACCCTTTATGGCACCTTCCATCTGGCAGATCCAGACTATATTTGGTGCAGATGTTTCTGTACACAATCCTAAAAACTTCATTATACCTCTCAGTGTATGCTGCCCTTGCTGACATCTTCTACTAGGGTACTGATTAGCTGGATCCTCTCTGAGGGCCTCAGTGTGCCTTTGGGTCCTGTTTGGTGTGGTTGACCTCTGCTGCTATTACTCTGTTTCTGAGTGCCCGTTTCTCTGCTGCTAGGATTAGAGCCTCATTGATGAGTTTAATCTATCTTTTCCAACCACTGGTAGGATTTCATAATGCAGATGTTAAATCCCATGGTGGGGTTTGCCCTGCCATGGAACATCCTTCTTATGGACAGTCTCTGTCTGCTTTCTGCCAAAGACATTCCCTTAAAATGTCATCTTTTGGTGCCATTTTCATTATGTACTTATAGATGCTCTGTGTTTCATCCAGGACTGTGGCATTGACATTCACTAGAGCCAGACCTCCTTCCATCCAACTGGTGTACAGTCACTGGATGTTAAAATCCTCCATTCATCATGAGGAGTTTCTTAGTCTCGATATCCACAGTTTTCAGTTCCTCTTTTGGCAAGGTTATTATCCCAACTAGGTACCTGATCACTGGTAGGATGTATGTATTGCTGTTGTGAAGACTTGTTCTTGTCATTTAGTTGGGACCTCTTTAACTGTGTGGCTCTCTGGAGGTACTTGGACATTACTGTCTTCCTTGCCTCTTCCTCATTATTCCTTTGTGTCATATTCCCAGGAACTTGTAGCTTTTCTTTAGGTCTCCTATTTGTTCCTTTTAGTTCAACAGTACTTTTAATTTTGATAATGTGATGCCTTTTTTGATATACTTTGCCCACATTTATCTAGTTTGTACATTTACATGTCCTTGCTGTATATCCTAGTTAGATAAATCAGTAAGTCGATGTTCCTCTCATCCTTGGCATACAACCTAATGCCATCCATCTTGAGAAGGTGACTGATAGTAGTTCCACTCTTGAATCTGTATCGATGTACACTCCTCATGATGATCTGACTGAGGGGGCAGAGTCCAGTGCAGAATAGCATCAGGGATCACCTTGGTATATATAATGGATTTGATGTTTACCTGTGTGATTGTCCTGTATTGATTTCTACCATTGTTCTCCAATATATGCAAACATATTTTTTAATGTCTATTACTTTACAGTCTCCACTCAGATTTCCAAATCTTTAATTTTCTAGGTATCTGTAAGAAGAAGCTATACATGAAACATGCTATCTATGTATTGCATATCTATCCATGCTCTCTATGCATTGCATACTTTGAATGAATGGTCTGCTATTCATTTTTTTATTCTCTTTGCATAATCTCACGCACAATGGTCTTGACTGCCTTTGCTATGTTCCTTACAGTGGAAAGATGTCACAGACTTACTCTGCCCATAGTAGAGCATGTCATGCGAATATCACATCCTAAGGTGTTTATAAGGAATATCATTGCTTTCTAAGTACAAACACTAATAGCTTCATTCATGAAATAAACATGAATGAAGAAGGCAGCACACTACTAAAACCACAAAGCAGAATACCTAGATAATTTTGATACGCACGATACCCCTAACTAATGCTAACCCACATAACAGACACACGAGGGAGAAGAAGACACTACATGGGTCGTAAGAGACACTCAAATGGGGCAGAAGACACATGGGACAGAAGGGGAAACTACATACTACATAGGGGTAAGGGACACCAGAATGGGGAGTAGGAGACAAACATATATATATTGCTCTGAACATATTTTCACTCCATTTGGTTCACAAAACAGGTGAGAAGAAGTAATCAATAGAAGGAAAAAGAAGAGGAGCAGCAAAAATATATATTTATTTATTAGTTAGATATATCAATATCGAATTTTTTTTCACTTTTCTTATTTTTTTCAGTTTTTTTTATTGATCACTTCTCACTTGATCTGTGAATAATACACATTTAATGGCTGTCCATTAGCCATCAATTATCTTTATGTTATCCTTTTTTTTTTGGCATCATGGATGGAACTCCAAATCAAAAAGCAAACTAAATAACTTGTGTATTGCCCATATAGTTTGTTTCGTGATTATTCCATATAGCGTTTCACAGTTGCGCAATCTGGTTGAATCACCAATCGCCCAAGTCGAGATGAATTGTGATTTGTTTGAAACCAAGTGGACAAGTCTAACAGATGCTATGTAGTAAGCAAACACAACAGATAATACTCTATATGTATAATCAAGAGTCGCTGCTACACAACAGACACTATTCCGTAAACAAAAACTGTGAAGATTCTGCTGTAAGTACAAAACGTACAACACAATGAGAGAACTTTTTTGGCAAACAATTCATTCTTCATAAACCCAAACAAATATATAAACATATTTACAGTGATGCATGCATCAGGAAAAAAAACCCCAATATAATCACGATACACATATAGTATTTTAAATTACTTTTTCAGTAGAAAAGATATGAAAAGGGATCAGGATATATAAGGAATAACAGACGTATAATTTTAAGTAAAACCTACACGCTTCAACAATTTGGTCAACAATTTGCAATTCAATGTCAATAAATAACTGATTAAATTAAGTCTTGCATATGTACACACGTAATCACGATTACTCATTAAAATTTGAATTATTGGCAATTAATCTCAAAATTGCAAATTTGAGGCTAGAACAGCCAATCTGGAATTTTTGTCTAAGTTATTGATGTTTCAAGATCCAACCTTAGATTTCTAGTTTTTTGGTGAATTCTTGGCAACCAGCAATTTACTGAATAACCTTGAAGGTTTGAAAAAACAAACACTACCTCAGGGTTATTTACTAAACCAGGGGTTAGAAACGTATGGCACTTTCGATGTTGTGGACTACATCTCTCCTGATGGTTTGCCAGCATTTTATGGCTATAAGAGCATTATGGGAGAGGTAGTCCACAACATCTGCAGTGCCAAAGGTGGCCTACCCCTGGACTAGAATGTGAATTGTTGGGAATTCACCTGGGAATTGATGACTGAGTATTTGAATTGGAAACATTTGCCTTGAATTAATAGAATTTGGAATGATTCAACACTCATTGAAAAATATTTTTAATGATTTACGTACCGAGGCCACCTTTAAAGTCTATGGGTAGTTTGGGAGATAAATCATTTGGAAAGTTTCTCTAACAGTATTCAATCATTTGGAAAGTTTATTAAATCAGCCATAAACTGGCTTGGACAAGTTCTCAAATTTAGATGCCTTTGGCTAAATATTTGAAACCCGCAGTTTATTGAATAACTTCACAAAGCTAAACAAGGGCAAATATTGATGCATGCTTTACTTTTTATTACATTGAAATTATGACTACGTATGCTATTCTTTAAGAAAAACAACATATGCTATTCTGTATACAAACACAGGGTTTAAAATTTACATCAACACATTCAAATTAAAGTATAAAAATATTTGCATCACAGCTACTATAATTATAATAATCACCCACATTTTACTTTTTAATTAACTTTTTTTCCTAATGGAATTTATAGAAGAAAAAGGAGAAACATCGGTAATACACGGGAGAGCAAACATCTAATTTTTGTTATGTAAGTAGGATATACATGATTTGTGATTTATTCACTAAAATGAGAAATGTGAAGATATGATAAGCGACTGGCCAGTTTTAGAACAAAATAACTGTAAATATAGCCGAGTTGGAGTTTTTTTTTCCCATTCCATTTGTCAATTCTCCACCATTTCCAGTTTAGTTAATAAACTCCTATGTAAGCATAGTTGTATGAAATCTATGACCAAAACAAATAAAGAAATAAACAACAAAAGCAAAACTCTGTGAATATTAACTGTGGTCTAGAATGTCTTTATACATAAAACCTATCTGTGTCGCTTTGTAGGAACCGAAATCTTTCACAGCCAATTTGTAACTCTGAATGTGTAATGGCATTTCAACTGTGTGATATGGGCTAATGGCAGTATGACAGTGCTGAATGGGTGAAACTCGACTTGGCAACAACAAATCCTTCTATCTATCAGGGCTCACAGCTTCTTGTTGGATTGATGGGCTGAGGTTGTTAATAAAATAAGTTTGACAACATCTAGACGGATTGCACCCACAGCGTTCATTTACCATAATCATTATAATAAACTGTAGTGGTTACGGTGCTTGGATGGCACATTTAACTTACAATCATGTAATGGGATTAGTACAGATTGGGATTGTATCTGTGGGTAAAAGTTATAACCACAATTTGGCAAATGTCCACAAATATACCAAAAACTGAAGTTCATTGGCAGCAGGTGAAATTTAAAGATGGGTCACTGATCTTTTAACTTCATGTATTCAAACCCTGAGCCAATGAAACGCCATAAGCGTAAAGGGACACTATAGTCACCAAAACAACTTCCAATTTAAAGAGGTCCAAATCACACCCGTTGCTAATACTTAATGACAGTCCTAGCAGACAGGATAATATGCAGACCTGTCATTTAGGGTTTCTAGGACTTGATTGCCTCTTACAAAGAATGTAAGGGGGATCTACACGCAGAAAATTGGCATTTTTTCACAAATCTCACAAAACCTTAGCATGACTATTTGCCCTGTTTCTCCGCAGGACATCCAGACATCATAAAAGGGAACTGCAGACATAATCGTGACAGACACAACTTTTTTTTAGACCTCATCACTTCATTAGCCTTTATTAGCCTTTTTTTTGTAACAAGAATTTTAAATAGCACTGCCTCACCTGCCCCTAAGGACCAACCTCAGTTCAGATTATGGTACAAGTCCCAAGTCCCATTCTTAAATGAAAATTAATGATTTAGTCTTTTTTAACTGTATAATTAGGTCATTTAGGTCAGTGACCCATTCTTCTACAGTAATATTATAAAGAGAAATACATTTTGTAAAAGAAATGTTTATAGACACTTTGTCCGGTCAGAGGAATATCTAGTGCATTGAGGGTGGGCAAGAATGCTATGGCATCTCACAGAAATTATGTATTTGTTACAACCAGTGGGGGCCTACTGGAAACAGCATGATGATCCAGCTTCTCTCCAACAGAGAGGCTCAAGGAACATTCCAAGCGCCATAACCACTACAGCTCCCTGCTGTGAAGGGGCAGGTCATTAGCTAATCACTCCTAGCCAATGATTTAAGCCCTGAAAAGCTAGGCTCAGCTCTATATAGAGAGCTTCTGGATTTCATGGAGGAGATGACTGGTTCCTGCTGAAAAACAGATAACTTGTCAATTCATTAGGAAATGGTTTGACTGCTTAAATTGGACAGCGCCATGGCACTCCTGGTACCATAATTACTATGGAATGCTGATGTGGTTATGGTGTTTGGAGGCTTTCGTTAGGGGCCAATGTATTACTGTAACTGTATATTATTTTATAGTGTTAGACAAAGACAAAGCTGTCAAAATAATTGCGATTCTAATTTATTCTATTATTATTTTAAATAAATGAAAAAAATACAAGTTTTTTTAATTAAAGAAAATGCCATTATCATAGCAATGTATCTTTTATTTTGTTGCAGTATGTATGACAACAATACATATTACTTGTAACTCCAATGTTCAAGGGATCTGAATGATTAAGTATTGTGTACTTGATATTCTTACTTTGAGAAGACGCTGTAGAGATATAGACCAGGATACAAATAGCGAGCTGTGTATAGAGAGTCTTTGAGTCCATGGTGTCGATCAAGTTTGCATGAAAACTGTTGAAAACATTTAGGTCAATTAATCCAGTAAAGTCTGACGGTTTTAGATTCTTAAAAAAGGACTTATTTATTCAAATGGGAACTACGGAGAATTAAGTAATGGATCAAATGTATAAGCCAAACCATATAAATTCCCAGTTTGGCTATGCTTAAAATGAGCAATTTCCTATATAGTTAATAAACTTGAATAAATTAATCAATTGGACATTGCATAAACTTAATTTACTATTGGCTCTATATATTACTCCAGGTCTAAATATTGCAATAGGTTTGGGCATAAGGAAATATTCCCACTTATCACGGAAATTAAATGAACTTTCTTGTTAAGGTAACTATAAATAATAATAATAATAATAATATAAAAATAATAATACCAATAATAATATAATAATATAAATAATTTAATATTTTAATGTATAATAATATATTTAATATATTATATATATATATCAAAGTATAACAATAGATTTTCCCCTAGTAAACTATTCCCTAACTCACCAAATAAAACAACAACCAGAAGCTTAATAAAATAAATCCAAGTCAACTGATCAGACAGGTAAATGCAGGTGTAAAGGATGGGTCTGTCCTATTCAGTTCTATTCTCTACTCACCTAGAAAGATGATGGATGCAGTGGAGAAATGTTTGCAGACTGAATTTCTAGTCTTATATAGTCCTGGAAATACTGGGTGATGGCCACAGTCAGTCACAGACAGAAATGAATGGAAAATGGGAGTTCACCATTCACTTAGTGAAAGTTAACTTTCCATAACTACTGGAAAATGTAGCAAGATTGACTAGAATTGTGCAATATTCAAAACCACATTAAAAAGAGACTTAAAAGTGAGCTAATCCTATAAACAAGTATATCAATAACGTATTAGACTTACAACCTGAACATAATGAGTAATAAAGGTGTGTGATGGATTCACAGACATGTATGTAGTGAATGCATTTCCAGTTAAATTATATTTTAGGATACCGTACTTAAAATAGTATTATTCTATTTCATCATTTGTGACTGGCAGACAGTTAGACAGACAGATAAATAGGATGAAGGACAGACAGACAGACGGACGGACAGACGGACAGGCAGACAGACGGACGGATGGATGGATAGATAGAATAGACAGACAGGTAGATAGATAGATAGATAGATAGACAGACGGACATGAAGGAGATAAGAGCAATTTTGCAATGAAACTACAATTAATAATTCAGTGTTTCTATATTGCTATGATTTTAACATGTTATTTTAACCCCTTAAGGATATAGCTTCAGAAGTAAAAGGCCAGCATGATGGAAAATTTCCGTCTTGTTTCTTGACCCTTTAAGGGGTTTAAAGGATCTTCCAAAAATTGAAAATTGAAAATAAGTTGAATTATTTATTATACTGGTTCCAAACAATAACAAACCAGTAAGACTGAAGCATTAAAATGGCAGGCAAGTATACTTTTCTGGCAAGGTTAATTACCCCTGTTGTGACCAAAGGTGTACTTAGGTAACCTAGCACCAGGGGCAAATATGTATGCTGGCAACGCCCTCACTACCAAATTTTAAACATCTATGTGCCGCTCCACATCCACCTATCCCTGTAAGTGTATCTCCTTACCCTTCTTGTGCGTTTCTCCTAGCTTCCCCTACAACCTTGTGTGTCTCTTCACCCTTTTCACCCTCTTGTATGTCTCTCAACCCACATTACTTGTATCTCTTAAAGCCCTTGTCTGTTTCTGAATCTTTTTACCCCTTTTGTGCCCTCACATACATACGCAGTGACATGCATACAGTTTTACACAGACATGCAATTATACATGCACTCAAATACAAACATGGACACACTCACAATCATATACACAAACACATGCACAGTCACATACACAGACACATTCACACATCGCCATAACATACGTAATCACACATCCAATTCCAATGCTAGTGTTGCTCTCAGGGAACACAATAGAGTCTGCTACCACGCCTGGAGCACCATGGAAGGGATCCACAGTCCCTTAGTAGTATTCAAAGTCAGATTCCAGAGAAGTGCAAATAGGAAGGAGTTTTATTCGCGATTAGGAAAACAAAATTATATACAAAGGTAAGGCTTGATCCTGACACATTTTGTTTGTCTGATCCTGAATAAAAATCCTTCGTATTTGCACTACTCTGGGAAGCCTTTGGAATTTGATTATGAATATATATAATCACACATTGATACACGCAGAGACCTCTTAGCAGTTCGAAACGTTGCTGCTTCTTTTTTTTGTCCCAGTAAATCAGCCTGCGGCTTGAACACCTAGAGTGCCTGGAGATTTCTTTTCTGTTTGCCTTATTATTGTGGGATTGCTGGTCCTGCTCCAGTGCACTGGGTGTCTGTTGTGACTGAGTGCGGTACCTATCTTCAATTTTTGTAACACAAATTTACACCCAGTCACACATATATATACTTAGACATACAGTCACATATATACACAATGTCACGTACAGTCAGACATAGTCACATACAGTTACATCCACACAGTCACATACAGTCACAGGCACATAGGCACATAGGTACACAGTCACAGTCATATAAATACAGTTACACAGTCACACATGAGCACAGAGAAACCGATACACAATTATAGAATTTCCCGTTTATCTCAATAGGCACTGGGGGGAGGAGCGGAGACTTGAGGCACAGCAGTCTCCGGTGTGTAGTGTTTAGGGAAGCAAGGAAACCTTCCTTTTTCTCCTTTGGTATGCAGTTAACAGCAGGCCTGGACTGGCCATCGGGCACAACGGGCAAATGCCCGGTGGGCTGCGGTGGCCATGGGCCAAGGGCGGCAGGGGAGGTCCCAGGATCTCCCCTGCCGGTCTATGCAGGGCCGGCACTATACGAGTGCTGACCCTGCTGTATTCCATGGAGGGTCGGTGGGGAGATCAAAGCTCCCCTTCACCGGCCCACTTGGACAGACATGCGGCTAGAGTTCACTCACCACTGGACCACCAGGGATGATGTGCGACTGCGAGTGCTGGTCCCCCCCCACTCTCTCCCAGGTAAGAAGGGAGGGGGATATAATGCCTACTTTTTTTTTTTTTTCCCTGCACCCCAAACACTCAATCCCTTCTAACATTCACACACATCACTCTCACACACAGCACTCTCACACACATCACGCTCAGCACTCACACACATTACACACAGCACTTTCACACACAGCCCTATCACACAGAGCACTCTCACACATAACACTCTCACACACATCACTCTCACACACATCACACACAGCACTCTCACACACATCACACATAGCATTCTCACACATAGCACTCTCACACACATCACACACAGCACTCTCACACACATCACACACAGCACTCTCACACATAGCACTCTCACACACATCACACACAGCACTCTCACACATAGCACTCTCACACACATCACACACAGCACTCTCACACCTATCACAAACAGCACCCTTACACCCATCACATACAGCACTCTCATACCCATCACACACAGCACCCTTACACACAGCACCCTCACACACATCATAAACAGCACCCTCACATACAGCCCCCACACATCACACACAGCACCCCTCAAACACAGCATCCATCACACACACATACTGCACCCTTCACATACACACTACATCCCTCACAGACACCCACTGCACCCCTCACACATACATACTGCACAAAACACACACACAATACTTCCGAACATATTTATAATATATATATATATATATATATATATATATATACTACAGCACCCCTGACACACATACTGCACTCCTAAACACATTACGTTCCAGACACACACTAGATCCCTTACCCAACTCTGAATCATATACACACACTAGATCCCTTTATACACCCTGAATCCGTTATATACACACACTCATTAGGTCTCCTATACATTTTGGGTCCTTCAAACACACACTAGACTCCTGTATACACGCACACTGCACCACCTACACACACACACACTACATTCCTAAAATACACACTCTGGATCCCTTATAAACACACTAGATTAATTGTAAACAAATACATATTACACCCCTACAAACACTACATCACCTATACACACACACACACACACACACACACTATAGCCTGTATGCACACACTTATTACATCCCCTATACACACATTCTCTACAGCCCCTAACCACATATGCATTACATTACACCAAAAACACAACACGACTAAAACCGACCTTATTACACAATACCACACCACAATCATCTCACTCTACACACACGCAATCCCACAAGCAGGCTCCAAACACATGCACAATATTCTTTCCTGGCCCTTTTGTCTCCTGGTATCCATTTACAGAGACACCAGAGACAAGTTGCAAGGAAACAGAGTGCAAGCATGTTATTAAATTTGCTTGCACTGTGCAGAACAAATACAGAGCTTTTTTTCTCATGCTAGAGCTCTTTAGCAGAGTTCTGCGCATGGTCTGCCCTGGAAGAGCATTGAACCAACATGCTCACTTTGAGAGGGGGCGTGTTTGTCATTGGTGATGACGAAACACACCCTCTCTGCCCGCCCCCTTCTTAGTGGGCCGCTGTGATAAAAAAATGCCCGGGCCGAATTTTTCTCCCAGTCCGGCCCTGGTTAACAGGCAGTGGAATTTAAACTGTCCTAGGAAGCGAGAACTCCTATTTAAAGCCCCCAGTAAGGTTTTACAGCAATATCTCTCCTGGAGTTGCCCCAGGCACTAAAACATCCTTGCCTACTCTCTGTCACATTTAAACTCTCTGTACATAAAACACATTACACATAGATATCTTGAGAAAACATATCAGTGGCGATTGTCTCACGTGAAAGGTGGGATTTTGTACTTTGCTTGACCTTTTAAGACCTTTATTATCCTCTCCCAGGACTGAGAGGGGCTGCTGTCACCCTGAAGTGAGTGAGGATATCACAAATTGTAGATCCTCTACCAAGGTCCCCGGAGGTCATGTTACAATAGGA